TTAAAATTGCAAAACGAATTTTTAAGAAAAATCGAGAGGTGGTAGGTGCCTCGAAAAAAAAAAATTTTAAATCATTCTAAAAAAATTATTTTCGGTTGCGAGAGTCAATTACAAGTATTTTTGGTGAATACACATACCCCCGAAATCCTACTCAGATTCCAGAAAAAAATTCAAGGAACTGCTGAAACTTTATGGTGAAATTAAAAAATTTCAAATCGTCCTGGAAAAAATATTTTCAGTTGCAGGGGGCAATTACAAGCATCTTTGGTCAACAGAAATACCCACGAAATCCTACTCAGTTTCGAGAAAAAAATTTCTTACCGAAAATCTAATGTGAAACTTCTTGCATATCTTTAAAACGTCATAACTTCTGAACGGATTGCAGGATTTTAAAGTTTCAGAATGCAAACAACGCGTATTTCGGTGAAAAATATGCAGAAATTCTAACAATATTGACAAAATCGTTCCTTGACACCGTCAGAACTGGTCCAATTTTCAAACGACCATAACTCCTACAATAGTAAAGTTATCTCATTGAAATTCAGTAGAGAAGTAGAGCTCATGAATACCTACAATAAAGTATTAAACAACTTTTCTGTACAGCGTCAACCAAATTTATTAAAATTGCAAAACGAATTTTTAAGAAAAATCGAGAGGTGGTAGGTGCCTCGAAAAAAAAAAATTTTAAATCATTCTAAAAAAATTATTTTCGGTTGCGAGAGTCAATTACAAGTATTTTTGGTGAATACACATACCCCCGAAATCCTACTCAGATTCCAGAAAAAAATTCAAGGAACTGCTGAAACTTTATGGTGAAATTAAAAAATTTCAAATCGTCCTGGAAAAAATATTTTCAGTTGCAGGGGGCAATTACAAGCATCTTTGGTCAACAGAAATACCCACGAAATCCTACTCAGTTTCGAGAAAAAAATTTCTTACCGAAAATCTAATGTGAAACTTCTTGCATATCTTTAAAACGTCATAACTTCTGAACGGATTGCAGGATTTTAAAGTTTCAGAATGCAAACAACGCGTATTTCGGTGAAAAATATGCAGAAATTCTAACAATATTGACAAAATCGTTCCTTGACACCGTCAGAACTGGTCCAATTTTCAAACGACCATAACTCCTACAATAGTAAAGTTATCTCATTGAAATTCAGTAGAGAAGTAGAGCTCATGAATACCTACAATAAAGTATTAAACAACTTTTCTGTACAGCGTCAACCAAATTTATTAAAATTGCAAAACGAATTTTTAAGAAAAATCGAGAGGTGGTAGGTGCCTCGAAAAAAAAAAATTTTAAATCATTCTAAAAAAATTATTTTCGGTTGCGAGAGTCAATTACAAGTATTTTTGGTGAATACACATACCCCCGAAATCCTACTCAGATTCCAGAAAAAAATTCAAGGAACTGCTGAAACTTTATGGTGAAATTAAAAAATTTCAAATCGTCCTGGAAAAAATATTTTCAGTTGCAGGGGGCAATTACAAGCATCTTTGGTCAACAGAAATACCCACGAAATCCTACTCAGTTTCGAGAAAAAAATTCCTTACCGAAAATCTAATGTGAAACTTCTTGCATATCTTTAAAACGTTATAACTTCTGAACGGATTGCAGGATTTTAAAGTTTCAGAATGCAAACAACGCGTATTTCGGTGAAAAATATGCAGAAATTCTAACAATATTGACAAAATCGTTCCTTGACACCGTCAGAACTGGTCCAATTTTCAAACGACCATAACTCCTACAATAGTAAAGTTATCTCATTGAAATTCAGTAGAGAAGTAGAGCTCATGAATACCTACAATAAAGTATTAAACAACTTTTCTGTACAGCGTCAACCAAATTTATTAAAATTGGAAAACGAATTTTTAAGAAAAATCGAGAGGTGGTAGGTGCCTCGAAAAAAAAAAAATTTTAAATCATTCTAAAAAAATTATTTTCGGTCGCGAGAGTCAATTACAAGCATTTTTGGTGAATACACATACCCCCGAAATCCTACTCAGTTTCCAGAAAAAAATTCAAGAAACTGCTGAAACTTTATGGTGAAATTAAAAAATTTCAAATCGTCCTGGAAAAAATATTTTCAGTTGCAGGGGGCAATTACAAGCATCTTTGGTCAACAGAAATACCCACGAAATCCTACTCAGTTTCGAGAAAAAAATTCCTTACCGAAAATCTAATGTGAAACTTCTTGCATATCTTTAAAACGTTATAACTTCTGAACGGATTGCAGGATTTTAAAGTTTCAGAATGCAAACAACGCGTATTTCGGTGAAAAATATGCAGAAATTCTAACAATATTGACAAAATCGTTCCTTGACACCGTCAGAACTGGTCCAATTTTCAAACGACCATAACTCCTACAATAGTAAAGTTATCTCATTGAAATTCAGTAGAGAAGTAGAGCTCATGAATACCTACAATAAAGTATTAAACAACTTTTCTGTACAGCGTCAACCAAATTTATTAAAATTGCAAAACGAATTTTTAAGAAAAATCGAGAGGTGGTAGGTGCCTCGAAAAAAAAAAATTTTAAATCATTCTAAAAAAATTATTTTCGGTTGCGAGAGTCAATTACAAGTATTTTTGGTGAATACACATACCCCCGAAATCCTACTCAGATTCCAGAAAAAAATTCAAGGAACTGCTGAAACTTTATGGTGAAATTAAAAAATTTCAAATCGTCCTGGAAAAAATATTTTCAGTTGCAGGGGGCAATTACAAGCATCTTTGGTCAACAGAAATACCCACGAAATCCTACTCAGTTTCGAGAAAAAAATTCCTTACCGAAAATCTAATGTGAAACTTCTTGCATATCTTTAAAACGTTATAACTTCTGAACGGATTGCAGGATTTTAAAGTTTCAGAATGCAAACAACGCGTATTTCGGTGAAAAATATGCAGAAATTCTAACAATATTGACAAAATCGTTCCTTGACACCGTCAGAACTGGTCCAATTTTCAAACGACCATAACTCCTACAATAGTAAAGTTATCTCATTGAAATTCAGTAGAGAAGTAGAGCTCATGAATACCTACAATAAAGTATTAAACAACTTTTCTGTACAGCGTCAACCAAATTTATTAAAATTGCAAAACGAATTTTTAAGAAAAATCGAGAGGTGGTAGGTGCCTCGAAAAAAAAAAATTTTAAATCATTCTAAAAAAATTATTTTCGGTTGCGAGAGTCAATTACAAGTATTTTTGGTGAATACACATACCCCCGAAATCCTACTCAGTTTCCAGAAAAAAATTCAAGAAACTGCTGAAACTTTATGGTGAAATTAAAAAATTTCAAATCGTCCTGGAAAAAATATTTTCAGTTGCAGGGGGCAATTACAAGCATCTTTGGTCAACAGAAATACCCACGAAATCCTACTCAGTTTCGAGAAAAAAATTCCTTACCGAAAATCTAATGTGAAACTTCTTGCATATCTTTAAAACGTTATAACTTCTGAACGGATTGCAGGATTTTAAAGTTTCAGAATGCAAACAACGCGTATTTCGGTGAAAAATATGCAGAAATTCTAACAATATTGACAAAATCGTTCCTTGACACCGTCAGAACTGGTCCAATTTTCAAACGACCATAACTCCTACAATAGTAAAGTTATCTCATTGAAATTCAGTAGAGAAGTAGAGCTCATGAATACCTACAATAAAGTATTAAACAACTTTTCTGTACAGCGTCAACCAAATTTATTAAAATTGCAAAACGAATTTTTAAGAAAAATCGAGAGGTGGTAGGTGCCTCGAAAAAAAAAAATTTTAAATCATTCTAAAAAAATTATTTTCGGTTGCGAGAGTCAATTACAAGTATTTTTGGTGAATACACATACCCCCGAAATCCTACTCAGTTTCCAGAAAAAAATTCAAGAAACTGCTGAAACTTTATGGTGAAATTAAAAAATTTCAAATCGTCCTGGAAAAAATATTTTCAGTTGCAGGGGTCAATTACAAGCATCTTTGGTCAAAAGACATACCTCCGAAATCCTACGCAGTTTCGAGAAAAAAATTCGAGTAGGTGGACAAATTTTATTAATAATTTTGTTAATATCATTTTAACGAAGCCTCAATCAACAAATTGGTATTCTTGATTTTCGTCTTATTTTGGCCTTTAGAATCTCCCATTAAAATTTTTCCCAGGGGTGGCCGACACAAAAAGTGTCTTATAATTTTGTCCAAGTAAAATTGTATAATTTTAGTTTAGATTGAAAATTTGTTTAACATTTATTTAGTTTTAAAAAGTACTAATCAGAAATAAATGATATTGTCTCACACGTAACATTGTTTAATATAAATACAATATTAAGAGAACATATCCATGCATCAGTAATTCTCAAGCTGCCATGATTTTGTCCATCAGTACGTAAGTACACGTATTGTAATTACTTGATTAAATATTGGGTTAGAATTCTATTCGGAAATATCTATTATTTCTAATGTGTTTTCTTTACCCTACTAAACAATGCTTTATTATGAATTCTTTTCCTTGGTGTCGAGGGTCGCGGGTTAGTTTGGTTACGAAATTAGGTTGCGGCTCGAAAAACGTCGAGGAACATCGGCTCGGATCGGTTTAATAATCGCCCATCACGTTTTTGGAATTCGAACGAAAAATAAAGAAAATTAATAGCTTTGTATTCGAGTCGACCCTGATCGCCAGATATCTGCAGTTTTTCACCGAGAACGCAGCGGCCCTGGCGACTGGAATGCGGGCGCGGCGAGTCGATATATGAATGCACGCATACACACACGTAGTAAATACACACGCTCGTGAAACTTAAGGAGCGCTCACACGAAGGTAACGTAACGTCAGGAATATTTTGCGTTCCGATTTACGCGTGCCTTCGAGTATACATTTCGTCGCGACAGCGCGCTGCATCGGCTCCACGAACACAATTCGGAACTTGAAAAGAAATACACTTTCATACGTGTTCAATTTAACACACATACACACACTTATATATATACATATATGTATTAAATGACATACCTATCTCTAGGATCGATCCACGTTGTTTTTCTTGTGTTGTGATCGATGAAATACACTTTTCCGTCAAAGTCTTGCGCGACGTCCCACCCTTCCGGAAGCGGTATCTCCCCATTCCGTCTCCTTGGCATATTTCACTGCGCTCTAAATCCATCCAAAATTCTCTATCACCGACCAATCGCAAACACATATTCGTGCGCGCGAGCACACATTACTCGTGCCATGTTACACGCTGTATTGATACAGGAGAAAGAAAGATAGCATACACAAGAGAGATAAAAGAGGATCGTTCGAATGGTGGAAAGAAGGAACGCAACAGCAACACACACCGATGTACAGCGGAATGAAGATAGAAAGGATGTATTGCATATCCACGCACGCATGCATACACACACGAATTGCATCTATACATAGAGTGTACGTTATACACTGTAATACATATTTTATATATATATATATATATATAAAATAGATATTATGTATGCATATATGTACTCCCTCTCGCTCTCTTGCTCGCGCGCGCGCTACTCCGCCATCATGAATACCTCATTATCATGAGCGGAGTGACGTCAGAGTCCCCGCCTTCAGATTCCTCTCGAGCGGAATTCCACCGTTAACATTGCTGACTGTAGAAGAAAAGTCCACTGTTCGTATCTTGCCTTGAGACAGTACCGTGGTCCTACATTTGCAAGAGAGCATGTATCGATTGCTCGTTACATTATCGTTGAACACTGTTTCTTTTTTTTTTTTTTTCTTTTTTCTTACTGGAAACTTGCACTGGTCACACCGCGATCGCGAAAAAACATACGAATAACATAGCCTTTGAACTATTCTTTCCGCACCACATGAAAAAATCGAATTCGATTTGATATTACACTTTCACCCTTTACCGTTGGCCTCACACCCGTGGGTTCACTTCAATTTACATTTTTGCTTTCCATTCCCGAAGGTCTTAATTTTACATCGCATTCGGTTAATTTATTGCGACACCATTCTTCGATCGTCGACCGTTCTTTATATGTTTATTATCTGTTTCGCACCATCGGGGCCAGAGATTTTTTCTAAAAATAAATATTCACGGCACCGTGCCGGCAAATAAACGTACATTACCCGCAAACATGATCCAGTCGCGCGTTTCATTGACAAATTTTCGAAAGAGTAATCGAAAGATCGTTCCAGTCTGGGCGTCCTTGTCGTGTATTCGCGTCGTCTTTTCGTACAGCAGGAACGACGAGTTCTTTTACAGAGCAAAGTCGTGAACAGTATCTATGTACGTTTTGTGACCCGCTTTAAGAGGTGCACGGCTAATGCCGGTACTGTCGAACACATTTCACCATACTCCCTTTTCCTTTTTGCACTAAAATTTCCGCCTGTCGTGCAACGTACACCGCGAACAAACCGCCGACGTATCTTTCGGGGAAATGTCAGAATTCGCCTTACATTCCCTCTGCGCGCTATTTCACTACGCTTACCTACACAACAAGACACTGTTACGATTTCCGCGAGACACTTTTGCCCGTTCGTAGGCCGTATTGGATATGGCTTCGTAAAAAGTCCACGGTCTGTCAGCTCTATTTAGTTCGTGTGCCAAGAATACGGGCAAACTACTCTTTCGTTTCGACGATACTAAAACCTCGCGCCAACTACAAGCATGTTGAGTGTTTGTTACATGCCACTGAACGTTCTACCGTGTGCGCTTGGCAATGCTTCTCACTCACTCTCTCTTCCTCTTCGCTTCAACGCGTATACCGATGAGAACTGAACGTAATCCCCTCTCGACTTCCCATACTCCCCTTCTTACTCTATCTTTCTCTAGAACTGCCCCCCTTCCATTGGCTTATAGCTTTCGTGTCTCTGACCGCTGTGCACGAAGGGCGACGAGAACAAACGAACGCGATGCTCTTTTCATAGTTTCGCATATTTTCCGTTATGTTGCACTGACGGCACCACCGTACGACTTCTAAACGCAGGTGCACTCCTGACCGTTGATTGTCGAACATCCGGGACGTACGGATAAACTGATGGTAATCCGTCGGTGCCTCTGCCAGAATGTCTCATAATTCTCTATGGTATGAGTACATACAGTAAGTCGAAAAGTTATTGCCACAGGTATACATTTTAAAAAGAAATCATTTCTTCAATTCTTTTCTAACAGTATTTTTAATACTTTTTCTATCACAACATATGCTTTACATTATTGGCTAACGAAATAGTACAACTGGATAACAGTATTTATTGTAAACAAACGAAAATAATATAAGTTTCCACCGATCTTGCAGAATTAGTTGCACAGTCTGTTTTTTGTGATGACAGGGAAATACAGTGTTGTATATGTATACGTATTGATATACAGTCAATGACGAATGTCTTCGTACACCCCCCCGAAAATAGTAATTTTAAAGAAAATACGTAACAATTTCGTATAATATTATATTAATTTATTGTTATATATGATATCATTGATTAAACTACACGAAAATTTATTGTTTTTTTTAAGTATATTTTATACAATGAGGACAAAATTGTACACTAAAATACAAAGGTAGTAAATTTAATAAATTTTTTAAACATAATACTTGGGCTTCCACGATAATGTTTTGTTTACGATGTCATGACATTGTGATTCGGTCGAAAGATGTCTAATAATCGTTTAGCGACAATGAGTGCTTTTAGGAGAGAAATAAGCGTTGAAATGCGGGAATTAGTTGTTAAATTGTATAAGGAGAAGAAATCTCTACATGAAATTGCTAACATCGAGGGCAGAAAACATTCTGCTATTCGGTACGTAATAAAAAAATTCAAAATAACTGGTAAATATGAAAATAAAACATGCAGTGGTCGTCCTAAAATCCTGAGTAATAGAGATGTTCGATCTGTATCGCAAACTGTTCGCCTAGATTCAAAAGTAAATGCCCCGATAATGTTTTGTTTACGATGTCATGACATTGTGATTCGGTCGAAAGATGTCTAATAATCATTTAGCGACAATGAGTGCTGTTAGGAGAGAAATAAGCGTTGAAACGCGGGAATTAGTTGTTAAATTGTATAAGGAGAAGAAATCTCTACGTGAAATTGCTAACATCGAGGGCAGAAAACATTCTACTATTCAGTACGTAATAAAAAAATTCAAAATAACTGGTAAATATGAAAATAAAACATGCAGTGGTCGTCCTAAAATCCTGAGTAACAGAGATGTTCGATCTGTATCGCAAACTGTTTGCCTAGATCCAAAAGTAAATGCCCCGATAATGTTTTGTTTACGATGTCATGACATTGTGATTCGGTCGAAAGATGTCTAATAATCGTTTAGCGACAATGAGTGCTTTTAGGAGAGAAATAAGCGTTAAAATGCGGGAATTAGTTGTTAAATTGTATAAGGAGAAGAAATCTCTACGTGAAATTGCTAACATCGAGGGCAGAAAACATTCTACTATTCGGTACGTAATAAAAAAATTCAAAATAACTGGTAAATATGAAAATAAAACATGCAGTGGTCGTCCTAAAATCCTGAGTAATAGAGATGTTCGATCTGTATCGCAAACTGTTCGCCTAGATCCAAAAGTAAGTGCTTCAAAAATAGCCGCAGAAGTAGAAAATATTCGAAGAATTTTAAGAAAATCTGGATATCGTAGTCATGTGACACGAAGGAAATCTTTAGTCAGTGACATTAACCGTTCTAAGAGAACTCGTTCGAAGAGAACTCGCAAAAAAACATTAAAACAAGAATATACAATTTTGGCAAAGGGTATTATTCAATGGCGTAACTAAGTATAATATTTTCGGAGCAGATGGAAGAGGCAAAATGTGGAAGAAAAGTGGTACAGCATTTGTAATCGAACGATCATTTTAGGGGAGTGTACAAAGACTTTCGTGATTGACTGTAGTATGCGATTTACTACTGGAACAATTGTTTATAATATTTACTTTTTGTATTTATCATTATTAAGATTGCCTTACTCGTCTATATACAAAAACAAAACAAAATTTTATAACGGAAGAAATATATGACTAATAAGAATAAGTATCTATTGGCACATTTAAATAACATTGTGTTAAATTACAGTTCAATGTTTTATTGTACATTATTTTTGTGTCGTAGCTTCTTTTAATTTATTTGGCATTGAATGGATAAATTTCTTTGTAAATTCATTGTTGATTCTTCTAAAATTATTTCTTTTCATTTCAATTTTTTAGAAATACAATATCTTTAAATATTTTGTATCAATTGCTTCAAGAAAGTATTTTCGAAGTATGTGTTATTATAAACCATCAACGAACTGTATATGCCATATGTACAGATGCATTATATTATTGAAAGTAATAGTTTGATGGTAAATTTAATTTTTTTCTATTTTTTTAATTCCTTAATCAATACTAGTTTTCCATACCCGGGTGTCGACATATAGCATTATGTTGGACTATGGCTTAAAAGTATTTTAAATATTCTGCATTGCGGTTCCTCCATACTAATATTCGATCATCTGTCTTGGGAATATTATATTTATTATCGTTAGAGAATAAAATTTAGTTCCAAAAGTCGGTTTAAATTTAGTTCCGTCTGTGCCTCTACCAGAATGTCTCATAATTATCTATGGTATGAGTACATACAGTAAGTCGAAAAGTTATTGCCACAGGTATACATTTTAAAAAGAAATCATTTCTTCAATTCTTTTCTAACAGTATTTTTAATACTTTTTCTATCACAACATATGCTTTACATTATTGGCTAACGAAATAGTACAACTGGATAACAGTATTTATTGTAAACAAACGAAAATAATATAAGTTTCCACCGATCTTGCAGAATTAGTTGCACAGTCTGTTTTTTGTGATGACAGGGAAATACAGTGTTGTATATGTATACGTATTGATATACAGTCAATGACGAATGTCTTCGTACACCCCCCCCCGAAAATAGTAATTTTAAAGAAAATACGTAACAATTTCGTATAATATTATATTAATTTATTGTTATATATGATATCATTGATTAAACTACACGAAAATTTATTGTTTTTTTTAAGTATATTTTATACAATGAGGACAAAATTGTACACTAAAATACAAAGGTAGTAAATTTAATAAATTTTTGAATCATAATACTTGGGCTTCCCCGATAATGTTTTGTTTACGATGTCATGACATTGTGATTCGGTCGAAAGATGTCTAATAATCATTTAGCGACAATGAGTGCTTTTAAGAGAGAAATAAGCGTTGAAATGCGGGAATTAGTTGTTAAATTGTATAAGGAGAAGAAATCTCTACGTGAAATTGCTAACATCGAGGGCAGAAAACATTCTACTATTCAGTACGTAATAAAAAAATTCAAAATAACTGGTAAATATGAAAATAAAACATGCAGTGGTCGTCCTAAAATCCTGAGTAATAGAGATGTTCGATCTGTATCGCAAACTGTTTGCCTAGATCCAAAAGTAAATGCCCCGATAATGTTTTGTTTACGATGTCATGACATTGTGATTCGGTCGAAAGATGTCTAATAATCGTTTAGCGTCAATGAGTGCTTTTAGGAGAGAAATAAGCGTTGAAACGCGGGAATTAGTTGTTAAATTGTATAAGGAGAAGAAATGTCTACGTGAAATTGCTAACATCGAGGGCAGAAAACATTCTACTATTCAGTACGTAATAAAAAAATTCAAAATAACTGGTAAATATGAAAATAAAACATGCAGTGGTCGTCCTAAAATCCTGAGTAACAGAGATGTTCGATCTGTATCGCAAACTGTTTGCCTAGATCCAAAAGTAAATGCCCCGATAATGTTTTGTTTACGATGTCATGACATTGTGATTCGGTCGAAAGATGTCTAATAATCGTTTAGCGACAATGAGTGCTTTTAGGAGAGAAATAAGCGTTGAAATGCGGGAATTAGTTGTTAAATTGTATAAGGAGAAGAAATCTCTACGTGAAATTGCTAACATCGAGGGCAGAAAACATTCTACTATTCAGTACGTAATAAAAAAATTCAAAATAACTGGTAAATATGAAAATAAAACATGCAGTGGTCGTCCTAAAATCCTGAGTAATAGAGATGTTCGATCTGTATCGCAAACTGTTCGCCTAGATCCAAAAGTAAGTGCTTCAAAAATAGCCGCAGAAGTAGAAAATATTCGAAGAATTTTAAGAAAATCTGGATATCGTAGTCATGTGACACGAAGGAAATCTTTAGTCAGTGACATTAACCGTTCTAAGAGAACTCGTTCGAAGAGAACTCGCAAAAAAACATTAAAACAAGAATATACAATTTTGGCAAAGGGTATTATTCAATGGCGTAACTAAGTATAATATTTTCGGAGCAGATGGAAGAGGCAAAATGTGGAAGAAAAGCGGTACAGCATTTGTAATCGAACGATCATTTTAGGGGAGTGTACAAAGACTTTCGTGATTGACTGTAGTATGCGATTTACTACTGGAACAATTGTTTATAATATTTACTTTTTGTATTTATCATTATTAAGATTGTCTTACTCGTCTATATACAAAAACAAAACAAAATTTTATAACGGAAGAAATATATGACTAATAAGAATAAGTATCTATTGGCACATTTAAATAACATTGTGTTAAATTACAGTTCAATGTTTTATTGTACATTATTTTTGTGTCGTAGCTTCTTTTAATTTATTTGGCATTGAATGGATAAATTTCTTTGTAAATTCATTGTTGATTCTTCTAAAATTATTTCTTTTCATTTCAATTTTTTAGAAATACAATATCTTTAAATATTTTGTATCAATTGCTTCGAGAAAGTATTTTCGAAGTATGTGTTATTATAAACCATCAACGAACTGTATATGCCATATGTACAGATGCATTATATTATTGAAAGTAATAGTTTGATGGTAAATTTAATTTTTTTCTATTTTTTTAATTCCTTAATCAATACTAGTTTTCCATACCCGGGTGTCGACATATAGCATTATGTTGGACTATGGCTTAAAAGTATTTTAAATATTCTGCATTGCGGTTCCTCCATACTAATATTCGATCATCTGTCTTGGGAATATTATATTTATTATCGTTAGAGAATAAAATTTAGTTCCAAAAGTCGGTTTAAATTTAGTTCCGTCTGTGCCTCTACCAGAATGTCTCATAATTATCTATGGTATGAGTACATACAGTAAGTCGAAAAGTTATTGCCACAGGTATACATTTTAAAAAGAAATCATTTCTTCAATTCTTTTCTAACAGTATTTTTAATACTTTTTCTATCACAACATATGCTTTACATTATTGGCTAACGAAATAGTACAACTGGATAACAGTATTTATTGTAAACAAACGAAAATAATATAAGTTTCCACCGATCTTGCAGAATTAGTTGCACAGTCTGTTTTTTGTGATGACAGGGAAATACAGTGTTGTATATGTATACGTATTGATATACAGTCAATGACGAATGTCTTCGTACACCCCCCCCCGAAAATAGTAATTTTAAAGAAAATACGTAACAATTTCGTATAATATTATATTAATTTATTGTTATATATGATATCATTGATTAAACTACACGAAAATTTATTGTTTTTTTTAAGTATATTTTATACAATGAGGACAAAATTGTACACTAAAATACAAAGGTAGTAAATTTAATAAATTTTTTAAACATAATACTTGGGCTTCCCCGATAATGTTTTGTTTACGATGTCATGACATTGTGATTCGGTCGAAAGATGTCTAATAATCGTTTAGCGACAATGAGTGCTTTTAGGAGAGAAATAAGCGTTGAAATGCGGGAATTAGTTGTTAAATTGTATAAGGAGAAGAAATCTCTACGTGAAATTGCTAACATCGAGGGCAGAAAACATTCTACTATTCAGTACGTAATAAAAAAATTCAAAATAACTGGTAAATATGAAAATAAAACATGCAGTGGTCGTCCTAAAATCCTGAGTAATAGAGATGTTCGATCTGTATCGCAAACTGTTCGCCTAGATCCAAAAGTAAGTGCTTCAAAAATAGCCGCAGAAGTAGAAAATATTCGAAGAATTTTAAGAAAATCTGGATATCGTAGTCATGTGACACGAAGGAAATCTTTAGTCAGTGACATTAACCGTTCTAAGAGAACTCGTTCGAAGAGAACTCGCAAAAAAACATTAAAACAAGAATATACAATTTTGGCAAAGGGTATTATTCAATGGCGTAACTAAGTATAATATTTTCGGAGCAGATGGAAGAGGCAAAATGTGGAAGAAAAGCGGTACAGCATTTGTAATCGAACGATCATTTTAGGGGAGTGTACAAAGACTTTCGTGATTGACTGTAGTATGCGATTTACTACTGGAACAATTGTTTATAATATTTACTTTTTGTATTTATCATTATTAAGATTGCCTTACTCGTCTATATACAAAAACAAAACAAAATTTTATAACGGAAGAAATATATGACTAATAAGAATATGTTTTAAAATTATCTTATAGATGGACAAAAGTATGTATTGGCACATTTAAATAACATTGTGTTAAATTACAGTTCAATGTTTTATAGTACATTATTTTTGTGTCATTCTTTTAATTTATTTGGCATTGAATGGATAAATTTCTTTGTAAATTCATTGTTGATTCTTCTAAAATTATTTCTTTTCATTTCAATTTTTTAGAAATACAATATCTTTAAATATTTTTTATCTATTGCTTCGAGAAAGTATTTTCGAAGTATGTGTTATTATAAACCATCAACGAACTGTATATGCCATATGTACAGATGCATTATATGTCGACATATACCGTTATGTTGGACCACGGCTTAAAATTATTTTAAATATTCTGCATTGCGGTTCCTCCATACTAATATTCGATCGTCTGTCTTGGGAATATTATATTTATTATCGTTAGAGAATAAAATTTAGTTCCAAAAGTCGAGCAATACCATTCACATAATAGAACATTCAAATAATAAAGTGTTCATATAAGGAATGTTCCACTGTACTTAGAAAACATTCTTATAACAGTAAAAATCACTTGTGAGTGCTGTTCATAAGAAAAGCGATTAGAGTTTGTCAAGAAATACATATTGAAACCTGTCGACTTTTGGTATAATGTAATTTTTTATAATAAAAGTAAATATAATGCTCGGGGATTAAATTATTGTACTCGAGTCAAGAAATCTGCAATTAAGTATCAAATATGGAGGCCATAACGTAATGTGAAGATGCCTTAGTTATGACAACGTAGAAAATTTCCATGTCGTCGAACAAAATCTAAATAAAACTACATATTTTTAAAAATAATTTAGATCAAGGTGCTTCAAAAATTGATATTTCAAACAAATTCTTGCACTATAAAGATAATGATCCCAACCATAAAATGTACATTGTAAAAGAATGGTTGTTAAACGATTGTTCAGGAGGATCCGAACTTTATCAAGACAATTTGGGATTTTGGGACACAAATACAAAAACGTTATATATTGAATAAAACTGTTTTGAAAACTAAACTGAAATCAGAATGGAATAGATATGAAATTATATTAAAAAAATAATTGATTTGACGAAAAGAAGATTAACAGAGATAACTAAGTAAAAAGGCTATTTTGCCAAGACCTAAAAAATGCACGGATAACAAATTATTAATTTTGGTTGTCTGCGATAAATATTGTTACTTTTTTGTATTATATAGTTAGCTGAAAGTGCAGAGCATATATTTTAGAAAAAAAAGTATTGAAAGTACTTTGTAAATATGTGCTTGTGCCAATAATTTTATAACCTACTAGATTATTTCTTCTTTTACTTTATTATTAGTTTCATTGATACTCGACTTTTATGCCCTTTAAAAATTACATTTATCTCGTAATTCTGATCGATCAAGATTTAATTTTGATTTTGTATGCAGTTATTTTCACTAACGCTAGCTTATAAACTACAAAATACAAGTATTTTCATTTATAGTAAAGGAATTTGATTGATTTAATTGATAACAAAGAAATGCATAACAAAATTTATTTAAAACAATTTTTATTTTTGATACAAATGAACGCTTCATGATTTCTGTTTCAGTGTGCTTTAAGAATGACAACGATATAATCAATTATTGAAATTGAATGAAGACTTTTGGCCGTAAATTGTTCTTTTTGCATGTGCAATAATTTCTGGAATATCATGAAGTTTATATGAAATTTACTAAGTGTCTAAACCGTCTGTTTGGAAAGACGTGTGCTGAACCTGTGCATTTCATTGCGAGCGCATATGTGACATAGCTATATAATACGTAAGCAGTAGTGTTCTCTACATATTGTACAATTAACAAATTAATGGTGGGTTTAGATGTTTCTGTTCCCACTGCTATTTTCTAATTAAGAAGGAATATCAGCATTGTAGAGGTACTACCATGGCTACGTCTGAGAGCGATGATTTTGAAAGTGCAGACGAGGAGATGAACCATGATAGCTGTGGAAAAAGAAGTATTCAAACGCAACAGTGGTATTCACCAACAGCGATAGATTCGGAATCTGACGATGATGCGGAATACTTACCTCAAACGTATATGAACACAATTTATAGCAAACAGGCACAAAAATGCATAGGTATGGTATTAGATAAAAAGAAATATTATAAAGACATACCGAAGAAGAATATAGATATCGCTATTAAAGGTACATGTAAATATGACAAAGATGAACAATTAACAACCGATATCGAGAAGACTTCCGAAAGTACCAACAATATGGATACATTTTCCAATTTACAAGAATTGAACTGTTCGCAAACAGATACAAGTGTCGTAACTTCGAAACTGAACGAAAACGATGAAGAAATTAATTTCGGTAACAATAAAATGGATACGTCGTCGGTAAAAAATATTGATACGGAAATTCCTCTTACGATAACCACGTGTTCGTCTAACGAGACAGAGACAGTTGACAATCAACAAGCGTTAAGCACAGAGATATTAAGGACTGAAATTACACAGAGTAATGACCTAGTGACTGATACGTGTACTATAATAAGAAATGTTAATCAAGATGATATATCGACTAGAGTTTTATGTAAAGAAGCATCGATAGCAGACGAGTTGTCTGAATTAGAAATGCCGGAAGAAATGAAATCTGATAAGAAGTTTAAAGAAGTGTTTAAACCCGAAGGATGGGAAGGGCTTGGCAACGAAATAGAATTACCAGAGGAATTAACCGAAGAAAAATTACAACCAATATTAAAAAGACTGTCATTGGTAGGACAAGAAACACAGAATTCTTCCAAAGGATGGGGTTGGGGTAACTGGGATGTAAATTCTTTAATCAATACAGCCAGTGCAGGAGTTTCTACGTTGACCAGTCATGTATCGCATGGACTTACGCTTTTAGAAGAATCAATTGCTATACCCAAGGATTCAACTTTCACTAACACAGAGGGTCTAGAAGATCCTGTAATCAATGGTATCGTATTGTTTTACAAATGCCTCCTTGTTCAATCTTGACTAACGTTTCATCAAATGGTGTTTATAATTTTAAATAAACTAAACAACTTTATATACAGGCTGTCCCAGCTTTTAATGGTTAAATTTTAGTAATATATAGGGTGTTCGGCCCTGGCAAAAATTTTAATGGGAGATTTTAGAGTTTTCGTTAAAAAGTTATTAACGTTTAAAGTTCCGTACTGATTTTTTTTCTCGAAAGTGGGTGGAATTTCGGGGGTAGGTCTATTCATCGAAAATACTTGTAATTGATCCCTGTAACTAAATATAATTTTTTAAGTGTAATTTGAAATTTTTTAATTTCGTCTAAAAATTTCAGTATCTACTCGAATTTTTTTCTCGAAAGTGGGTGGAATTTCGGGGGTAGGTCTATTCACCGAAGATGCTTGTAATTGATCCCTGAAACTAAATATAATTTTTTAAGTGTAATTTGAAATTTTTTAATTTCGTCTAAAAATTTCAGTATCTACTCGAATTTTTTTCTCGAAAGTGGGTAGAATTTCAGGGGTAGGTCTATTCATCGAAAATACTTGTAATTGATCCCTGTAACTAAATATAATTTTTTAAGTGTAATTTGAAATTTTTTAATTTCGTCTAAAAATTTCAGTATCTACTCGAATTTTTTTCTCGAAAGTGGGTGGAATTTCGGGGGTAGGCCTATTCACCGAAAATGCTTGTAATTGAACCCCGCAACCAAACATAATTTTTTCAGAATGATTTGAAATTTTTTAATATAATTTTTTAATAACTTTTTAATGAAACCTCGGTCAAGAAATTGACATTCTTGATTTTCGTCTTATTTTGGCCGAACACCCTGTATTTTATGGGTATAAATGATAAAAACTGTTATATAGGGTGTTTCTCCTGGGTTAAATGCTCAAACTTGATATAAGAATATAGAGAATATTGAAATAAGAATTGTAAAACGAACAAATTTTTCTTCCGTAAGTATGCTCACAGACGCTTCCTTCATCAAATATTTACTTCTAAAGTTATTAAGACTTAGGAATAGATAACATTGAAATGTTTCTGTTTCGAAGATGGGAAGATTCTAATATGTTGCATCTTAATATTTGCGCCCCAAACTGGAGGTAGTTTGAACAAAATATATAATAACCAGATAAATCCTGATTAATTCTATATTCTTATAACTTCAGAAGTAAATATCTTTTGAAGACAGTGTTTGCGAGCATATTTCCAGAGGAATAATTTATTTGCTTTATAATTCTACATTCGTCTCTAAAATTTGAACATTTAACCCGGGAACACTCTGTATAAGCACAGTTCCTTGAATATTTTATTAGAAAATTATGACAAAAATAAGAAATACAATGGAAATGGACTTGCGATTACTGCGAAACAATGTAGGTATATTTCAACGATATTTACATGCAGTCTATTAATGAAAGTTGCGTTTACTATGCGAGATCTTCGAAGGTAGCATGATTCTTTTAGCACCGCCAAAAATAATTAATCTCTGTTTTAAAATGTTCACTGTGTTTGACAATACTGAATTAATAGCGATCGAGAACCGTATTTATTACTCAATTTTATTTTTATTTGGATTTCATTTGGTTGAGTTTACGTATTGATTCACAAATGCGAATTTATTCTTGTTTAGTACATTTGTTCCCTCAAAGTTCTCCATAGACAAAAGTTCCCACAGCAGGTTTGATAGTCCCATTGCGGAAGCCATAAACGAGACATATAATGTAAATAATTGATAAAAACTATCTATTAAGTGTTCGACAAACTTAGCTAGTAAATGTAGCTCGCATAAACAGACTAAATGTGAATACCGCTGTATTATATTCTTTTTGCATTCCATATTTCTGTTATAATCTTTTAATAAAGCTTTAAACAGCCTTAAGTCTATGTTCATATAACAAGTTTTTCTTATTTAGTCCCATAAATAGAATATATTAACAAAGTTTGGGACACTATATAATCGTATGTAATAAAATATAACATATATTTTAAAAGGCTTTTTAGTAATTATTAAATTTGTATTATAATTAATTTGATTTGCAGATGATAATACGGATCAGTCTGAGGAACTTTCTTCTTTCGGATTTGGAAACCTTATATCAGGCGTATCTTCCATAACAAAATTGGTCGAATCAACTGGTAGCAAAGTTATGACCGGTGGATTAGATACGTTAGAAGCCATTGGTAAGAAAACAATGGAAGTTTTACAAGAAGGCGATCCAGGTTTAAAAAAGAAAAGGGCCTTTTTCATGAACGAAGCAGATAAACCAATTCTATCGCAAGTTCTTCGAGAAGCTAAAGATAAAGCAGAGACCATTGAAAAAACGATCGAAGAAAAGCAAAACATGAGAAAAATACACTTCGAAAGCCTTTTCGATGATTATCAAGGTCTCGTTCACTTGGAAGCATTGGAAATGTTATCGAAACAAAGTAATATTAAAATACAACAGTATTTGAACAGTTTAAATATGACTGAATTAAATTCTGTTCAAGAAACATTAGCAGAAGTTAAAGAACTATGCGAATTAGATGACAGCGATGAAAAAGAGGATGGAGTGGACGATTTGAAATTAAGACTACAAGAAGCTTGTAATGATCTTGGAATTAATATTACATACGAAAAGTTGTATAATGTAAGTAATTCACGTATTGTTGACAAGCAATACAAGTTTTAGATTCATTCGTAAACTAGTTTTTACTAGTCTAGATGTCTGTATAAAAAATCCATTTATGAAAACGTAAGCGGACGTTACGTTTACGAACAAATTAAAAATTATTATTCGTTATTGGTTGATACAATCTGCCCAACTTTAATTATTGATACGCTAGTGGACATATAAACAGTATCTGGCCCTAATTCGTGGTATAACAGTAAAAGCAATGCCTCGTGCAAAATACATCGTAAAGAGTATAGCAGAATAAGGTGGCCAAGTGTGCTCTTGAACCAAATTTGACATAGGGTGATCGATAGAGCATCAGAATCAAATGTTCTGTGCCAAGTTTCAACCCTCTATCTTGTTCGGAAGGGTAGTTATAGGGAAAATCCGGATTAGTGAATTTGTGGACTATTTCCCCTATTTAATGGAGTACGAAAATTATGAAAAAAATCTGCTGCATTGTGATTATTAAGATACGTGTTTGAGAATTTTTTCCAATTTTTCGATTCCAAATCCTAGGTGTAAAAAATTAAAAATGCAAAAAAACGCAGAAAAAATTCGTTTTTGATTTTTAGTAATTTTGTTTGACATCCCATGGAAAAGTTGTTTAATACTTTTTTGTAGGTACCCATGGGCTCTGCTTCAAAAAAAAGATTCATTAAAATATATTCATTATTGTAGGACTTATGGCTGTTCGAAAATTGGACCATTTTTATGAGGGTTTTCCCACTTTACGGGGTTACAGAACAACTTTTTGAATATTTTTGCAATCTCGACATATTCTTCGCCAAAATACGCGTTGTTTGCATTTTGAAAAATTAAAATCGTCCGATCCGTTCAGGAGTTATGATATTTTAAAGATTCACATGAAAAGTTAAAGTCGAATAAGGGGGTCAAATGTGCCCTTCAACCAAATTTGACATACGATGGATCCATCGATAGATAGAAGGTTTCGTTAGCTACCACTGTTCGATGAATGTACTATCCACTGACCTTGCAAAGATACCAGTACGTACATGTATTGGAGGTGCTATTAAATACCTTTCCCCAACTCTACTGAGACATTTCACTCGAAATTGAACATGTTTTGGTACACAATTTCAGATGTTGTGCAAACTGAAATATTTTCAGAAATGTAATGTGTAACGGGTATTTAAACTGGGGCGATAAATCCTCTTTCTTCTTTAGCTACTGACTCTTTCTATATTCTTAGCGTCGACAAACTACAATAAAATTCGAAAAACGATTCTCCTATTCCATAAGTGTTCCTGACATTTATCGAGTTTTCACTGTATCTAGAAAAAGTGGTTAATCTATCCAAAACCATGCATATCTTTAAAACTCATGAAAAACTGTAGGATATAAAATGGGACGATCTCATCCATCATTCGTATTCACCCGATATTGTACCTTTGAATTATTATTTCTTTTGATCTCCATAGAATTCACTTGATGATAAAAACTTTGATTTCCCGGATGCCTAAAAAATACATACCCAATACTTATTACCAAAAAAAGAAAGTTGCGAAAGAATAGAATATGAAGTTCCCCTTGAGATGACAAAAGATTGTGGAACAAAGTGGTTGATATGTCGTTTAATGAAGTTTCATACATTTAATAAAAAAAATGATTACTATTTCTTACAGAAAATTCAGATGTTACTTTTTGGCTAACCCGATATATCGGTGTTGATAAGTTTGCATAAATTTTAATTATTTTCTGTAGGATCTTAATGTTAACATATGTGAAAATAAGTTACAAATTCTTGCTTATGGACATGGTGTCAGAGGTCTTAATAATTATGGGTTCTCTCTTCATTTACACTCATCTATTAACACAGAGGTAATGTTTCTTGATTCAACGTAATTCCATTAATATTAATCCTTAACTGGCGAGGGTAAACATCTGAACCTATCGCAAAGAAAGTTTTGCATTTAAAAAAGATAATGCTTTGTATATGATGAGACGGAAAGGAAATAATTTATTGTGACTGTCGCTGAATTCAACCATTAAATCAGAAATTTATTGTCAACGATTGCAACGAATGAACGAATGCTTAATGAGAAATCATCTGTATTTCATAGATAGAAACGGAGTTATGTTCCATCAAGACAGTGTTCAAAGGCATGCGTGCCTTTACGACTCAAAGAAAATGAAGAATTTAAGGTGGAAAATTATGGAACATTTTCCATACTCCTCAATTTACCATCGTCAGATAATCACCTCTTCGAGTCATTACTAACAAAGGATATAGCCGAATAAGGGGGTCAAATGTACCCTTGAACTAAATTTGACATACGATAGAGCATCAGAAAAAACATTCTGTGCCAAATTTCAACCCTCTATCTTACTCGGAAGGGTAGTTACAGGAAAAATTCGAATTAGTGAATTTGTGGCCTATTTTCCCTATTTAATCGAGTACGAAAATTATGAAAAAAATCTGCTGCATTGTGATTATTAAGATACGTGTTTGAGAATTTTTTCCAATTTTTCGATTCCAAATTCTAGGTGCGAAAAATTAAAAATGCAAAAAAACGCAAAAAAATACCGATTTCGCATTGAAGCTTTCGAGACACTAGATTTATATAATTACTGTAAATGCATATTGTCATTGGTTATATCCCTGAATTTTTTCCGATTTTTCGATTCCAAATTCTAGGTGTGAAAAATTGAAAATGCAAAAAAACGCAAAAAAATACCGATTTCGCATTGAAGCTTTCGAGACACTAGATTTATATAATTACTGTAAATGCATATTGTCATTGGTTATATCCCTGAATTTTTTCCGATTTTTCGATTCCAAATTCTAGGTGTGAAAAATTAAAAATGCAAAAAAACGCAGAAAAATACCGATTTCGCATCGAAGTTTTCGAGACACTAGATTTATATAATTACTGTAAATGCATATTGTCATTGGTTGTGTCCCTGAATTTTTGCAGATTTTTTGGCAGGGTGTGTCGTAGTAGGAAAAATCAAAAACCGATTTTTTCTTTAACTTTTTAATGGAGACTCAGTCAAGAAATTGTATAAAGTGTATAATATCGATTTTATTACTGATTCTAGATCTCTGAAGAATTTGAAGCCTATCTCACACTGCCTGTAACGCATACTGATCGAGAGATATTTGAACATGCTATTTCTGTTTTGGCACAATTCACTGCCTTTTCTATGGAAAGATTTCATAAAACTGCAGAATTACTTTTAATCAAAGACCACAGAAGCACCGTCAACGAGGCAGATGCATTAGTCCATTTGACACATATTCTGTCCAGTCAAGTTGGAATGCTAGCCAATTCTTATTGTAGCTCTTTACACGCACTTTTGCAAGATTCAGACAAGCCAGAAATTATTAAAAGTAATATAACAACAATTTTTATGGAGGTAAGTAAATATTGCAATGTTATATCAATGAAATACACAAGATCTATACAAAATTAATTCTCTCATCTTTTTAACAGGCTTCAAATGCAAGTTCATACATTCAAGATGCCTTTAAACTGTTAATTCCTATTATACAAGTTGGTGCTATTTAGTTCAGTTGCAAAAAACTTAGACAATTGCAAAAAAATTAGATTTCTTCCAACGACTTCTCAATATTATTTTTTCCAGTGTTTTTTTTTTCTACAGGGACCAAATAAATGAAGTTACAAGTGCTATTCATAAAGATTTGTAAAAATGCTAGTATTTTATAAAGTTACGATCGTAACAGTGGAGAATATCAATGTAAATAGTATTAAATCATGATACGAATAATATTAGCGGACTAAAAAATTGCAACTTTTAAGTAAAAGTCATAAGTAACCGTTAATATAATGAAGTTACAAATGTCTAATATTTACTTTTGAATTGAGGATAATTAATACACAATTATGTATTAGGTAAATGTATTATATGTACAGGATGTGCTGTAAAAAGTGTCATACAAGTGTATCGATTACTTGACGTTTCCGTTCGTATTGTAGCCATTTGTGTTTGTTATACTTTTTCTTTGTTGATTGACTATTTATAAGTAATTCCAAATATTTTCTTTACAAGCACATCTTATATATATCAACTTGTTAATGTTCTGCAAATATCGTACCATAACTTTTTACAACTAATTTCAGTTTATTTAAATTAAGAAATTCTACAAATGTATTAGTAAATATAAATTCCTATAATTAAAACGTACCATTTAAGAATTGTGAAAGAATTTCTGAATTTTTTTCTACTGGTTCAAGGAGGTCTTTCAGTTTATTTGTTAATTCAGCTAATTATACCTCTTTTTAACTGTATATATTATTCAATATATCGACAGCTGAAAGATAAAAATAAATAAAAACAAAACTAAAAAATTGTAAAGAAATTGTAAAGATCGAGAAATTTTTCTTTCTCTGATAGAGTTTGTAATAACTTTAAAATCTTGAACCTCTTGCCCATTCGCGTTTTACTATAGCCGCGACTCTAGTACAAACTATGTTGAGCGAGAGGCAATAAAGCTGCGACAGTCAAATTTTACACTGGACAGACAGAAACGAACGAACACTGCATGTGACAATTATGATTGTCATAATTTAGACATAATTATCAATCTCTATGTTATATAAGAGATAATAATCTCTATCAAGATTCTTTGCTCTCTATCAAGTGCAAAATCAGACTCACGGTTTCAGTATTTCTCGTTCAGCTTGGCTAGTACTGAAGTCGGTATTTTAGATAATCGTTCATAGGACATTTTTTTAGTTATTTTAGTGTGTAAAATTACTTCAGTATAATATTTACACGAATGCCTGAAACACCTTATACAGGGTGTTCGGCTACCCCTGGGAAAAATTTTAATGGGGGATTCTAGAGGCCAAAATAAGACGAAAATCAAGAATACTAATTTGTTGGTGGAGGCTTCGTTAAAAAGTTATTAACGTTTAAAGGTGTGGCTGTAGAACGACAATTTGACCACCTTTTCGAATTTTTTTCTCGAAAATGCGCAGGATTTCGGGGGTATGTCTATTGACCAAAAATGATTATAATTAATCCCTAAAACAAAAAATAATTTTTTTAGAACGATTTGAAATTTTTTAATTTTGTCGAAAAACACATTCTCGAATTTTTTTCTAGAAAGTGGGCAGGATTTCGAGGGTATGTCTATTCACCAAAAATGATTATAATTAATCTCTAAAACTAAAAATAATTTTTTAGAACGATTTGAAATTTTTTAATTTTGTCGAAAAACACCTTCTCGAATTTTTTCCTAGAAAGTGGGCAGGATTTCGATGGTATGTCTAATGACCAAAAATGATTATAATTGACCCCTGTAGCCAAAATAATTTTTTATAATTATTTGAAATTTTTTAATTTCGTCAAAAATTTTTTAATTTCGTTCAATTTCTCATTTTTTTTCTCAAAAATGGTTAGGATTTCGGGGGTATGTCTAATGACCAAAACTGATTATAATTAATCCCTTAAACTAATAATAATTTTTTTAGAACGATTTTAAATTTTTTAATTTTGTCGAAAATTTTTTAATTTCGTCCAATTTCTCATTTTTTTTCTCAAAAATGGTTAGGATTTCGGGGGTATGTCTAATGACCAAAACTGATTATAATTAATCCCTTAAACTAATAATAATTTTTTTAGAACGATTTTGAATTTTTTAATTTTGTCGAAAATTTTTTAATTTCGTCCAATTTCTCATTTTTTTTCTCAAAAATGGTTAGGATTTCGGGGGCATGTCTAATGACCACAAATGATTATAATAGACCCCCACAAACAAATATAATTTTTTTTAAACGATTTGAAATTTTTTAATTTCGTCAAAAATTTTTTAATTTCGTTCAATTTCTCATTTTTTTTCTCAAAAATGGTTAGGATTTCGGGGGTATGTCTAATGACCAAAACTGATTATAATTAATCCCTTAAACTAATAATAATTTTTTTAGAACGATTTTAATTTGTTTAATTTCGTCGAAAATTTTTTAATTTCGTCCAATTTCCCATTTTTTTTCTCAAAAATGGTTAGGATTTCGGGGGTATGTCTATTGACCAAAAATGATTGTAATTGAGCCCCGCAATCGTAAATAATTTTTTCAGAATGAATTGAAATATTTTAATTTAATATTTTTAATAACTTTTTAACGAAGCCTCAGTCAAGAAATTGATATTCCTGAGTTTCGTCTTATTTTAGCCGCTAGAATCTCCCATTAAAATTTTTCCCAATTTTTCACCCTGTATACAACAAGCAGATATTTGCTATTTCTTATATTATTGAGCCAGAGGGGGATAAGTAAGAGGAATGAAACATTAGTAATTAAAAAATGTTTTATTAATGTCGCCATGTAACGTGACAATACATATACGATAGTGATTTATTATATAGTTGTATCATCGTGATTCATCTCCGAATTATCATATAATCTCTTAAGTTTCTAATTCCTTAACCGTAACTTGTTCATTAAATTCATGCGTATCTCTTTAATTTAGACATACCTAATTTTGTATAACGCACCTTATTCATACGGGTCATTAACATATACATAAGAGGCAAACAAAATACGAGCAAGTATATTTTTAGAAATGATGGAAAATGGAACGAAAGATTCCATGAATTTGGTAAAGAAAGACTAAATTTGAGCGTTTCTTCAAAGTATGGGATATTCCTTAATATTATAATTCCTTCGCAAAGGAACCCTAGTGGATATAGGGGCATCCATATCGTGTATCTTAGCCACGTTAAAAATGAAATTTCTATGTTTAATAATTGCATTATGTAATATGGATATCTAACTATTTCGACCGTACTCCAAACGAGAAACAAATAGAAAACTACAGGTTTAGTTTGCATACGTGGTTCAGCTTCGATCATACTGAATAATATAAATGCTCTACCTCCTACTTGTACGAATGACATCAACGCACTGCCTTTGGTATAACCAAATAATGCATGCATCACTTCTAAAAATTGTAGAAGTTGTATAAATTTTATAGGATTTCCAAGAAATTGATATTCCTGAGTTTCGTCTTATTTTGGCCTCTAGAATCTCCCATTAAAATTTTTCCCAATTTTTCACCCTGTATACAACAAGCAGATATTTGCTATTTCTTATATTATTGAGCCAGAGGGGGATAAGTAAGAGGAATGAAACATTAGTAATTAAAAAATGTTTTTATTAATGTCGCCATGTAACGTGACAATACATATACGATAGTGATTTATTATATAGTTGTATCATCATGATTCATCTCCGAATTATCATATAATCTCTTAAGTTTCTAATTCCTTAACCGTAACTTATTCATTAAATTCATGCGTATCTCTTTAATTTAGACATACCTAATTTTGTATAACGCACCTTATTCATACGGGTCATTAACATATACATAAGAGGCAAACAAAATACGAGCAAGTATATTTTTAGAAATGATGGAAAATGGAACGAAAGATTCCATGAATTTGGTAAAGAAAGACTAAATTTGAGCGTTTCTTCAAAGTATGGGATATTCCTTAATATTATAATTCCTTCGCAAAGGAACCCTAGTGGATATAGGGGCATCCATATCGTGTATCTTAGCCACGTTAAAAATGAAATTTCTATGTTTAATAATTGCATTATGTAATATGGATATCTAACTATTTCGACCGTACTCCAAACGAGAAACAAATAGAAAACTACAGGTTTAGTTTGCATACGTGGTTCAGCTTCGATCATACTGAATAATATAAATGCTCTACCTCCTACTTGTACGAATGACATCAACGCACTACATTTGGTATAACCAAATAATGCATGCATCACTTCTATAAATTGCAGAAGTTGTATAAATTTTATAGGATTTCCAAGAAATTGATATTCCTGAGTTTCGTCTTATTTTGGCCTCTAGAATCTCCCATTAAAATTTTTCCCAATTTTTCACCCTGTATATAACAAGCAGATATTTGCTATTTCTTATATTATTGAGCCAGAGGGGGATAAGTAAGAGGAATGAAACATTAGTAATTAAAAAATGTTTTTATTAATGTCGCCATGTAACGTGACAATACATATACGATAGTGATTTATTATATAGTTGTATCATCGTGATTCATCTCCGAATTATCATATAATCTCTTAAGTTTCTAATTCCTTAACCGTAACTTGTTCATTAAATTCATGCGTATCTCTTTAATTTAGACATACCTAATTTTGTATAACGCACCTTATTCATACGGGTCATTAACATATACATAAGAGGCAAACAAAATACGAGCAAGTATATTTTTAGAAATGATGGAAAATGGAACGAAAGATTCCATGAATTTGGTAAAGAAAGACTAAATTTGAGCGTTTCTTCAAAGTATGGGATATTCCTTAATATTATAATTCCTTCGCAAAGGAACCCTAGTGGATATAGGGGCATCCATATCGTGTATCTTAGCCACGTTAAAAATGAAATTTCTATGATTAATAATTGCATTATGTAATATGGATATCTAACTATTTCGACCGTACTCCAAACGAGAAACAAATAGAAAACTACAGGTTTAGTTTGCATGCGTGGTTCAGCTTCGATCATACTGAATAATATAAATGCTCTACCTCCTACTTGTACGAATGACATCAACGCACTACCTTTGGTATAACCAAATAATGCATGCATCACTTCTATAAATTGTAGAAGTTGTATAAATTTTATAGGATTTCCAAGAAATTGATATTCCTGAGTTTCGTCTTATTTTAGCCGCTAGAATCTCCCATTAAAATTTTTCCCAATTTTTCACCCTGTATACAACAAGCAGATATTTGCTATTTCTTATATTATTGAGCCAGAGGGGGATAAGTAAGAGGAATGAAACATTAGTAATTAAAAAATGTTTTTATTAATGTCGCCATGTAACGTGACAATACATATACGATAGTGATTTATTATATAGTTGTATCATCATGATTCATCTCCGAATTATCATATAATCTCTTAAGTTTCTAATTCCTTAACCGTAACTTGTTCATTAAATTCATGCGTATCTCTTTAATTTAGACATACCTAATTTTGTATAACGCACCTTATTCATACGGGTCATTAACATATACATAAGAGGCAAACAAAATACGAGCAAGTATATTTTTAGAAATGATGGAAAATGGAACGAAAGATTCCATGAATTTGGTAAAGAAAGACTAAATTTGAGCGTTTCTTCAAAGTATGGGATATTCCTTAATATTATAATTCCTTCGCAAAGGAACCCTAGTGGATATAGGGGCATCCATATCGTGTATCTTAGCCACGTTAAAAATGAAATTTCTATGTTTAATAATTGCATTATGTAATATGGATATCTAACTATTTCGACCGTACTCCAAACGAGAAACAAATAGAAAACTACAGGTTTAGTTTGCATACGTGGTTCAGCTTCGATCATACTGAATAATATAAATGCTCTACCTCCTACTTGTACGAATGACATCAACGCACTACCTTTGGTATAACCAAATAATGCATGCATCACTTCTATAAATTGTAGAAGTTGTATAAATTTTATAGGATTTCCAAGAAATTGATATTCCTGAGTTTCGTCTTATTTTGGCCTCTAGAATCTCCCATTAAAATTTTTCCCAATTTTTCACCCTGTATATAACAAGCAGATATTTGCTATTTCTTATATTATTGAGCCAGAGGGGGATAAGTAAGAGGAATGAAACATTAGTAATTAAAAAATGTTTTTATTAATGTCGCCATGTAACGTGACAATACATATACGATAGTGATTTATTATATAGTTGTATCATCGTGATTCATCTCCGAATTATCATATAATCTCTTAAGTTTCTAATTCCTTAACCGTAACTTATTCATTAAATTCATGCGTATCTCTTTAATTTAGACATACCTAATTTTGTATAACGCACCTTATTCATACGGGTCATTAACATATACATAAGAGGCAAACAAAATACGAGCAAGTATATTTTTAGAAATGATGGAAAATGGAACGAAAGATTCCATGAATTTGGTAAAGAAAGACTAAATTTGAGCGTTTCTTCAAAGTATGGGATATTCCTTAATATTATAATTCCTTCGCAAAGGAACCCTAGTGGATATAGGGGCATCCATATCGTGTATCTTAGCCACGTTAAAAATGAAATTTCTATGTTTAATAATTGCATTATGTAATATGGATATCTAACTATTTCGACCGTACTCCAAACGAGAAACAAATAGAAAACTACAGGTTTAGTTTGCATACGTGGTTCAGCTTCGATCATACTGAATAATATAAATGCTCTACCTCCTACTTGTACGAATGACATCAACGCACTGCCTTTGGTATAACCAAATAACGCATGCATCACTTCTAAAAATTGTAGAAGTTGTATAAATTTTATAGGATTTCCAACAGCCATATACGTTTCCTTCATAGATACTAAAATAAGAAATTTAATGTTTGAACGATATGAGAATCAATTGCTTCTAATCGAATAATTCAATAATTTAATTATTTACCTGGTCCATCTCGTGAATACATTATTCCCATTATGGTCAGAATGTAAAGAAAGCCAACAAATTGACAGAGATTATAAATAATTAAATATACCTTCTTGAAATCTTCTGCTTAAATGAACAATACAATTAGTTTCAATTATAGTGTACGAAATGATATATTTCTTGACAAAATATACCTTTTTTATAACCAAATTCTTCTTGATGGAGTTTGTCGTACGTGCCAGGATAATCATTGCATATATCGCGTTTCTCGTCATCGTTATCTTCAAAATCTTGACTCGTCCATTTAGTAAAGTCGATTTTCAACCATGACGGCTTCTGTGGTTGACTGATCAACCGTGGCCACCAAGCAGGACAGTTTTTCTTTAACGTAACATCAATTTGACGATCTATTACTTTATAATCACTCTCCTGGAATATTAAAAACAATTATATTTATAATAATTCAACCAAATTGTACTGAACTGCACAGATGCTAAAAAATTTTCAAATATTCCATTCTTCTGAAAGTACTGTAAAATTTTTTTTCCAATCAAATATGAAACTGAATTTTTTATTCAAGATACTGCTATAAATGATCTGTTACATTTATGTTTCATACTTATGGGGGCCATTATTGAGTTGAATGGACAGTTTGTATGTTTCTAATCTACATAAATTCGAATGTATTATTTTTACAAAAAATTACTTTCTCTCACTGTTCCACGAGTTTAAAAAATTTTTGTTTTATTCTTCAAGTTAGATTTTAACTTGTTTATAAGGTTTGAAGCTTATAAAGGGTATAACCGAATAAGGGGGGTCAAATGTGCCCTTGAACCAAATTTGACGGTGAACCAATGACAATATGCATTTACAGTAATTATATAAATCTAGTGTCTCGAAACCTTCAATGCGAAATCGGTATTTTTCTGCGTTTCTTTGCATTTTTAATTTTTCACACCTAGAATTTGGAATCGAAAAATCTGAAAAAATTCAGGGACATAACCAATGACAATATGCATTTACAGTAATTATATAAATCTAGTGTCTCGAAAGCTTCAATGCGAAATCGGTATTTTTCTGCGTTTTTAATTTTTCACACCTAGGATTTGGAATCGAAAAATCTGAAAAAATTCTCGAACACGTATCTCAGTAACTACAATGCACCAGATTTTTTTCATAATTTTTGCACTCGATTAAATAGGAGAAATAGGCCACAAATTCACTAATTCGAATTTTTCCTGTAACTACCCTTCCGAGCAAGATAGGGGGTTGAAATTTGGCACAGAATGTTTTTTCTGATGCTCTATCGTATGTCAAATTTAGTTCAAGGGTACATTTGACCCCCTTATTCGGCTATATCCTTTGTTAGTAATGACTCGAAGAGGTGATTATCTGACGATGGTAAATTGAGGAGTATGGAAAATGTTCCATAATTTTCCACATTAAATTCTTCATTTTCTTTGAGTCGTAAAGGCATGCATGTCTTTGAACACTGTCTTGATGGAACATAACTCCTTTTCTATCTATGAAATAGAGATGATTTCTCATTAAGCATTCGTTCATTCGTTGCAATCGTTGACAATAAATTTCTGATTTAATGGTTGAATTCAGTGACAGTCACAATAAATTATTTCCTTTCCGTCTCATCATATACAAAGCATTATCTTTTTTAAATGCAAAACTTTCTTTGCGATAGGTTCAGACGTTTACCCTTGCCAGTTAAGGATTAATATTAATGCAATTACGTTGAATCATGAAACATTACCTCGGTGTTAATAGATGAGTGTAAATGAAGAGAGAACCCATAATTATTAAGACCTCTGACACCATGTCCATAAGCAAGAATTTGTAACTTATTTTCACATATGTTAACATTAAGATCCTACAGAAAATAATTAAAATTTATGCAAACTTATCAACACCGATATATCGGGTTAGCCAAAAAGTAACATCTGAATTTTCTGTAAGAAATAGTGATCATTTTTTTTATTAAATATATGAAACTTCGTTAAACGACATATCAACCACTTTGTTCCACAACCTTTTGTCATCTCAAGGGGAACTTCATATTCTATTCTTTCGCAACTTTCCTTTTTTGGTAATAAGTCTTGGGTATGTATTTTTTAGGCATCCGGGAAATCAAAGTTTTTATCATCAAGTGAATTCTATGGAGATCAAAAGAAATAATAATTCAAAGGTACAATATCGGGTGAATACGAAGGATGGATGAGATCGTCCCATTTTATATCCTACAATTTTTCATGAGTTTTAAAGATATGCATGGTTTTGCATAGATTAACCACTTTTCCTAGATACAGTGAAAACTCGATAAATGTCAGGAACACTTATGGAATAGGAGAATCGTTTTTCGAATTTGATTGTAGTTTGTCGACGCTAAGAATATAGAAAGAGTCAGTAGCTAAAGAAGAGAGAGGATTTATCTCCCCAGTTTAAATACCCGTTACACATCACATTTCTGAAAATATTTCAGTTTGCACAAAATCTGAAATTGTGTACCAAAACGTGTTCAATTTCGAGTGAAATGTCTCAGTGGAGTTGGGGAAAGGTATTTAATAGCACCTCCAATACATGTACATACTGGTATCTTTGCAAGGTCAGTGGATAGTACATTCATCGAACAGTGGTAGCTAACGAAACCTTCTATCTATCGATGGATCCATCGTATGTCAAATTTGGTTGAAGGGCACATTTGACCCCCTTATTCGACTTTAACTTTTCATGTGAATCTTTAAAATATCATAACTCCTGCACGGATTGGATGATTTTAATTTTTCAAAATGCAAACAACGCGTATTTTGGCGAAGAATATGTCGAGATTGCAAAAATATTCAAAAAGTTGTTCTGTAACCCCGTAAAGTGGGAAAACCCCCATAAAAATGGTCCAATTTTCGAACAGCCATAAGTCCTACAATAATGAATATATTTTAATGAATCTTTTTTTTGAAGCAGAGCCCATGGGTACCTACAAAAAAGTATTAAACAACTTTTCCATGGGATGTCAAACAAAATTACTAAAAATCAAAAACGAATTTTTTCTGCGTTTTTTTGCATTTTTAATTTTTTACACCTAGGATTTGGAATCGAAAAATTGGAAAAAATTCTCAAACACGTATCTTAATAATCACAATGCAGCAGATTTTTTTCATAATTTTCGTACTCGATTAAATAGGGAAAATAGGCCACAAATTCACTAATCCGGATTTTCCCTATAACTACCCTTCCGAACAAGATAGGGGGTTGAAACTTGGCACAGAATATTTGATTCTAATGCTCTATCGATCATCTTATGTCAAATTTGGTTCAAGAGCACACTTGGCCCCCTTATTCTGCTATACTCTTTACGGTGTATTTTGCACGAGACATTGCTTTTACTGTTATACCACGAATTAGGGCCAGATACTGTTTATATGTCCACTAGCGTGTCAATAATTAAAGTTGGGCAGATTGTATCAACCAATAACGAATAATAATTTTTAATTTGTTCGTAAACGTAACGTCCGCTTACGTTTTCATAAATGGATTTTTTATACAGACATCTAGACTAGTAAAGACTAGTTTACGAATGAATCTAAAACTTGTATTGCTGGTCAACAATACGTGAATTACTTACATTATACAACTTTTCGTATGTAATATTAATTCCAAGATCAGTACAAGCTTCTCGTAGTCTTAATTTTAAATCGTCCACTCTATCCTCTTTCTCATCGCTGTCATCTAATTCGCATAGTTCTTTAACTTCCGCTAATGTTTCTTGAACAGAATTTAATTCAGTCACATTTAAACTGTTCAAATACTGTTGTATTTTAATATTACTTTGTTTCAATAACATTTCTAATGCTTCCAAGTGAACGAGACCTTGATAATCATCGAAAAGGCTTTCGAAGTGTATTTCTCTCATGTTTTGCTTTTCTTCTATCGTTTTTTCAATGGTCTCTGCTTTATCTTTAGCTTCTCGAAGAACTTGCGATAGAATTGGTTTTTCTGCTTCGTTCATGAAAAAGGCCCTTTTCTTTTTTAAACCTGGATCACCTTCTTGTAAAACTTCCATTGTTTTCTTACCAATGGCTTCTAACGTATCTAATCCTACTCCTATTCGATAAATGTACCCAGCACCTCGATCCGTCGTTCTTTGATGTTTCCAAAGATAAAAAAAGACATCGCAAGAAGGATAAACAAAGAGAGAAAGACTCTCGAGTACGATATTTAATTCAATATTACGCTACCAAATATTGACCGATTTATATCGTGTTTAGTCTCATTTTAATTAGAAAAATCTCCCCCACGAACAGCTCTCGAGGACATTTATCGAGTTTTCGCTGTATTTGTTTTTAGTTACTCCAAGCGACAATCCTTATCCGAATTATTTGATTAGATTGTAGAAGTTCGTAATACAGAATTCCCTTCGGATCTTACCATATCTTCTTAGGGCGTAAATCTGATTTTCCAGTAGTATTAATCAGATTTGATCCGAGCTTATCCCAATGTCATTTTTGTTCTACGTTATTACAAATAATCTACATATTTTTGCCCACGAGGTAATTCAATACTCCAGTTCAAAAGCGATCCATTATTATAGCATTTCGGATGAGGATTTCATGCTGAAATTCAATCAATTAAATTCCTTTTACTTAAATTACACAGATTCCAAACATCGTATTTAGAAACTACGAGTCGGTGTAAATCATTTTCAACGCTGTACTTTAACATTTTTGAGCACAAAAATAGAGTATATCTAAAATGTAATTCGTTTACAGGATTAAATTTACAAGACTAAAATCTCCAGCACGGAATATTTTAAATCATCTATAGTAGGATATTGTTTTTGTTGTTTCCTTTGCAAAAATAAAAAGCTATAATTGCTTGGAAGTACATTTTCTCTTCGCTCGTTTTTAAAACAAAGTTCATTTAAGAATATGATTATCAAATACAATGATTTCTTTTTCAAACTGCACGTTGAGGCATTGGTATTAAGAATTAATAATTAGATATAAAAAAAAAAAACATTGTATATTTTAAAAATTCGATGTTACTTATCAGCTAACCTAATATGCGCAAAGTTCCAAACCTTCACATCGGTCAAATCTACCCTTAAGGTAACTTGACTTTTTGTTTGCGCCCAATACACAAACGGAGTTAATACATTTGTCATCGCCTTCAGTTTGTTCGCCTTAAAATGTGGGTAAATTAAAAAATTGCAATTTTCATTCAATTAAAAGAAATACAAAATATGTAAACGTTGTCGTAAATACAAGTCATGTTCACTTGGTGTACCATTACTTTGTATTTGAAATGCAGACAAAAATTCTTTGTTAATGACAACTGTTAATGTTGGCATCAGTGACGGACATTCGTGGGAATTTTGGTCATGCGCACTGGATGGAGCGCATGGTCACTGCCGTATACACTTAACTAGAATTTAGGGTACCGTTGGATCTCATTAACATTTTAACGACCGACTACGCAGTCAAACGTTGCCAGGGGCCGGCAGTATTTTTGAAGAATTAATTTTAAAGAACTTTATTGAATTCACGAGAAAGTTAACATAAAACAAAAAACAACAACAATTTAACGACAAATTTAACACTAGAAAGACTGAGACTTAGTATATACCTATATTGCCCAAAAGCAGTCAAAATTACTGCATTGTGAAAGACTAACTAATGTGTAAAGAAAGTTTAAAATTAATTTTTAATATTATGTTATAATATTATGAATTTAGGGCGCAGAAATAAAATAAACAACTTGTTGGAACAAGTATCACTGCATAAAGATTCGAATAACAAGTACTACTTTAGGTTATTGAGAAACTGCAATTTATCAATAGGTCTGGGTTAGGTCTGGGTTAGGTCTGGATTAGTTTGTTGGAGTCCGCCGCCTCTACGTGGAGGTGGTGCGGTCAATTGCCCTCTACGGGGCCCCGGTATGGGCCCCAAACCTGGATGCCAGCCGGCGCAGCATGGAGATGCTGCGCCGTGTCAACCGTCGGCTGGCCATCCGGGTGATTAGAGGGTATCGCACCATCTCCCACGAGGCGGCGACTACTCTGGCGTGTCTCCCGCCCCTGGAGCTCCTCGCTTGGAGAAACCGGCAAGTGTACCGTCACTCCAGGGAGCTCCAGGAGGCTGGGAGACCGCCAGAGGAAAGGAGACAAGCGGTCGAGGAGACGAGGCGCCATGCCCAGCGGACCGTTGTATTTATGTGGTTCCAGCAAATGATTCCGGCTGGAGCCACGCAACGGTCCGTTGGTGCAGTCCTGCCACATTGGCAAGAGTGGCAGGACAAACCGGGTAGGCTGTCCTACAGGATGACACAGGTACTCACCGGGCATGGTTGCTTTGGTGAGTACCTGTGTCGAATCGGGAAGGAGGCGACGGCGGTGTGCCACCATTGTGGAGGACCCCAGGACACGGCGCAGCACACGCTGGAAGTCTGCCCAGCGTGGGCAGATGAGCGCCGTGTTCTGGAGCAGGAAGTGGGAAGAAATCTCTCGCTGGCTACCATAGTGGGAAAGATGGTGGCCAGCGAGAAAACCTGGCAAGTGGTGGCCTCCTTCTGTGAAGTTGTTATGTCACAGAAGGAGGCCGCCGAGCGGGAGCGCGAGCGGACCGCGCATCCCGCTCGGAGAGGGAGGGCTCGGAGAGGGGCCAGAGCGAGGCATCCTTCGCCTCCTGGCCCCCTCCGACGCCCTTGAGGTCTAGTGGGACCTCCAGAAGTGGGGCGGCCCGCCAGCACTCTCCTCCGACCACCACGTCGGTGGTCAGGAGATTGGCAGGCCGCCCCTGGGGGTTGCAGGTGCTCGGTGCAAGGGGCCCGAGCACCGAAGGCAGCCCCGGGGCTGCGGGCGTCGGGTGACCTGGCGTCCGTGGCGGAGAAATCAGGGGGGGAAGGACATGTCGTCCTTCCCCCCGGGATGAGCCTCGACAGGCAAGGCGCGGCGGGGGACTCTGTGATGTCTCACTAGAGTTCCCGGTCCCTCGCCGCAGCGCCGGAGGACGGTCACCGTGGGGTTTTAGCCGGTAAGAGTCCGGCACTACCCCGAGGCCCCCCCTACTTAGGGCCTCGGGGTGTCCATGAGGATTTCCCCACGTACAAAGGTCTGGATTAGTTAATAATCCAAATTATCTTAAAATTGGATTATTAACTAATCCAGACCTAACTCAGATCTAATCCAGACCTAACCCAGAGCTAATCCAGATCTAATCCAGACCTAACCCAGACCTAACTCAGATCTAACTCAGATCTAATCCAGACCTAACCCAGACCTAACTCAGATCTAACTCAGATCTAATCCAGACCTAACCCAGATCTAGGGTCTGGGTTAGGTCTGGGTTAGGTCTGGGTCATGTGTCGGTTAGGTCTGGGTTAGGTCTGGATTAGATCTGAGTTAGATCTGGGTTAGGTCTGGATTAGATCTGGATTAGATCTGGGTTAGGTCTGGATTAGATCTGGGTTAGGTCTGGGTTAGGTACGCCCAAATCGACAATTTATCATGTACTTGTATGTTATCATGTGTTGGTAATCGAAAAAAAATGATAACTGTTATTTCAATACAGAGTCGAACTGGTCATATAAGAAATTTACTCAATTCAATAATAAGAGTCATTTGATTATTTAAAATTTCCCAAGCAGTCAAAATGACTGCTTTTGACCAATATAGGTATAACACATATACCGGAAATGAAGGAGGGGTGAGGTAACTACAATTATTAATAAACGCATTTGTATGTTGTGCAAAAAGTCACAAAATTCTAAGAAATTGTGTCATTATATACATAATTGTTTTTCTAATTGAAATTAAAAAGCAGTCAAAATGACTTCCTTGGGCAATCTAGTGTTAATATTTTTCCTTTGTATGATAATTATTAAAGCAATCACCTACATGTAATGGTATTTTACATGTCTTGCACATAAAATATGTAGGTTTTCTAATTTTATTTGCATAGCAAACGTGGCAATCCCTTCGTACACCCTCTTTATTGCCGATATTTGAACTAATTGATGTTTTATTCCTCCAGTTAATCTTTCCACTGGATTGGAACGAACGACGCGAGATGTAGTAGAATCAGCATCATTTTTAATCCACGCAGTTCCTAATTTAATTAAAAAATCGTGGTAATTTAATTTCCGAATGTGCTCCTTGTTCAAATGTCGATATATACAGAACGAGTTAAATATGGCACAATTTATGAAATACAAAGAAACTTTCTTGGTCCACTTTTTTGTTTTTCTATGAATGGGGTAATAACTCAAGTATTGGACCCCTTTCATATACCGGTTGTAGTCAATAATAAAACTTGCTAATATTGTCGTATTGTACTTATTGTTGTCATATTGTTACTTGTTGTTGCTTCAACAAAACACAAGTGAAACTAGCGCTATTACAACATTTTGAACTAGAAAACGCGCGCGACACTAGCGCTTATACGGCAGCTTAGCGTACTACGCCAACGTCGAGCGCCGATATTTGCTCCATAATTTACGTGGTACACCGTTGTAGTTTAAAATCAAAAATAAAAAATTGGCAATAATTATCTAAAATCAAAGACGTGGCGATGAAATACGAAGCCAATAGTAATATCCACGCTTGTTTACATTCATAAATTATCACACAAAGAGTGTGGTACTGGCCAACAACCTTCGGCGGTAGCATCGCACACATGTTGTGTGAGCGGTCGTCAAAGTGTTAATAAAGGACAGTTTAATTTGAATATTCTACTAGGAAGAAAAACAAAGTACCGAAGCACGCGCGGAAGAATTGGAATCCCGCGTAGGTAGTCTTGAACATATGAATTTATTGGTGAGGGGACGAAGTCTCGAACGAGCATCGCCACCGTTGAGTGGACTATCTACACCAAAATCACATCACAGTCCTAATAGGGATTACTTACACAAGTATCATACTGTTAGTATCATTGTCTTTTAATTTATACTTTTCCATTGTTCCAATTTAATTTCGTTATTCGTTCAAAGGCTCCAGCATCTATGTCTCCGGCACATCTCCACCAGTATGCTGCCTCTTTAGCTAGTCCAGGTCAACTTTCAGAATCTCTTCCTGCGAGCCAGGTCAGTTCCTATCACACACATGTGTGAGCGGTCGTTAAAGTGTTAAGGAACAAAATTTAAGGAAGTTACAGGGAAAGAGACAAGTTTTTATAAAGGAAAACAGTATAAATGTAGAATAAAAAGTGGAAAACATTATTTATTTAGTTTTTACAACTAAACACCAAAATTTGTTGCTGGGGTAAAGAAAACTGCAGAAAACCTTACCAGTATTGGACCAAAAATATTGCACGCAAAAATGTATATGAAACACACAAATATATAAAATTATATACCGTAAACATATACTTTATCAATATTAACTGAATACATTTAAATAAAATTAATTTCATATGTTTTAATCGACTTGAAACTAAAAATGGTAGAATTCCCAACAGGCTCCTCACATGCACCTCCTCTTGTGCTCAAGATACATCTGTGGTAGCGGACGACAGTTAGCTGTGACGTCACTTGCGCATGCGCAGAAAGGAAAAATTCCCACTTCTCTGCGGTGGAATTATCGCAGATAAATATGCTCTTCTCGTGGCTATGTGAAACAAGTTATTCCACATTATTGAAAATATAAATCAATGTAACGTAAAATAAATAAAAATCTGAATATTTAGTTACTCGATTTGCATCGCTTTTATAATCGCAGGTACATGTTACACGACATAAAACAAAATAAAAACTTGTGATTGTCCCGGGGATATATTTTATTGTATTCCTTTTAAACGATTTAATTTCTTTGAGTGTCATAATCTGTGCCTTTCGTAAATATGTTTATCTGTTTTCATCGTTCAGTACGTAAATTTATGTAATTTGTAACATCGATTTTAATGCTTGTATTCTCGATATAATATTATCAAAATTTGTCATTGTTGATGTCTCAATAAAAAAGTGTCAATAACGAAAATCTTAAAGTACCATTGCACACTATAAACTTCATGTTGCGAGAATGTCGTTATTCTAATCAAACTCGTAATTTACATTACTACTTTATTCATATTTTCATCCAATTTCCTCGTACACATTGCAGCGACCACAAAATAATAAAGCATTTAAAATGATGACTGATATAAAAGAAGCAGAAATGAAGACGATTCAATTAGAAATAGAAAAGCACGAAAGGTAACCTCCTTGTTTATTTATAAACGCTGTCGAACAATAAAAAACTTTATACGATTATTGTAGCGACAAAGACGTAGTGGATTTTTCAGACGCTACTAAGAAACTAGCCGAAGGACTTTTAAGCATTTATCAATTACCGTTGGAACAAGTTCAAAAAGAACTCGCCGAAGCAACGTAAGAAGAAGCAATGAATATAAATACTTTGCATATTTCTATCTTTCGTTACTTTTTGTTTAGGAGCAAACAAGAGGCGTTACTCGGTCAAATGCAAATTGAAAACAAAAAGCTTCAAGAAACTTTTGAAAATGTTAACTTGAATGAAATGGTAAGATATATAGCGTAATAAGCAGTAAGTCGCAGAAGTATTCATAACCCTTCCAGTGGTTCGCTTCAAATCTTTATCGCTGGAAATATATGTTGTATTAACTAAACTTTCAATTACAAAATAACGTTTCGGTATAACAAGAACAGAAATTTAAGTAAATTATCTATTTATATAGTACAGGCCACGATATAGCGATTGTAAAATCAATTAGACGTTAAAGTAAACATTAGAGCGTGAAATCATAATCGAAACTGTACGAAGAAACCTTTAATCCAGTGTGAATATACACGTTGCAATTTTTCTTTCGCGTTCCGCAATTTGCTCGATGTTTGCTGTTTTTTAATTATTATTACTTTATTCGCAACTTGTTTCCAGTTATGTAGTTTAATATTATATTTATTTATTCCTCGATAGATCCAACAAGTTCTCGATTTAAACTCAGTTAATACGACAAACATTTTACTATGCTACTACTGCGACAAATTGTACATTTTCTTGTTCTAACAAAAAGTACTCTGTAACGTTAGATGATGGCTTTTGTGTAATGAACTTTTAGTATAAATCCATAATATAACGCAGGATGTAGAATGTAAAATATGCGAGCAAATATGTATTACAGTTTCAAACTATTAAAGTTTATCAAGGAAAACTAACTTTGATGAAGAAAGAGATGGCTTTGATTCATGAGCGAACGTTCAAATTAAAAGTAAGTATTTGGAAATCATTTATAATTATACGTATTTCTGATGCGTTGTTATTTTCACATAGAAACGAGCATTAAGGTTGCAACAAGTGAAACAAAAGGAAGCATTGAATAAAGAACAACAACGGGAACAAGAAATTCGTCGGGAACAAGAATTAATTGGTAAACCTGTAATAAGTTAAGGAAAACAACATTCGAGAAAAATATTTAAATGTACAAAAGCATAATGTATTTAAATGGAACTTACGTAAAAAATTGTTCAACCGATTTTACATATTACCAAACTATTTTCCACTGTCCGTTAGAGTCACATTTTTTATCATCTTTGCATAACACATTAAACGTTGTTTTAGTAGGAAAACCAATGATCTCTCTATCTTCTTGTATTCTAAATGTAAAAGTCGATTCATACGTTCCCAGAAAATATCTAGGAGAGAATAAATATTATTTATAAAAAAAAGAATTAAATACTGTTATTGGTATTTACCTGGCATAGGAGCAAATTATTTGATCAATAATCGCAACCCCGCCATCTTTAAATTTATTTAATACATAATCCGATGGAATAAATCTAAGAGTTGTACGATCGAGCATGTATTTTTTGAGCTCTTCGAATTCTGGAAAAATTTATGACGATTAGTCTTGTTTAAGATTTAATTTACATATAAATCACCTTCCTCTGTAGCATCCGTGGCAACGAATAAAAGTTTTAATCCAAGTTCGTCCATCTTTCTTCTCAATTGAGAAGCAGCAGATTTTATTGTTGGTACCGTTGAAGAATGACCAACTAAAAAATCCTGACGTCTTAAATGTACCGACAAGTACGGTCCTCCAACTGCACTTCTTCTATTCTATAAATAACAACTTGGATAGAAACAAATCTAAATCTATTTTGATACAATCGTAACTAAGTACCTTTTCTTTGGTCCAATCATTTGGTCGTTTTGTATTATCACCTTCGTTCGTGGAATTCAGAAAGTCTTTTCTGTATTTAGCTGCGATATTATATAATTCAGAATTGTATCGCATACTGCGTCTAGCTCTCCAATATTCCTGGGAACCATAGAAATCATGTAACGCAATTTCAATGCGATCAAACATTACAGACCTGTAAGAACAATTGTAATGATTAATTGATATAAATAATGTTTAAAAATACTATATATTTTCACCTATAAATCTCAGGCTGGAGATTTCTTCGAAGATCTGATATCGTTCCATGAAACTTAATGCATTTAACAGCTCCGGAAGTTACGTTACGGTATCCCCAAAAATATCCTTTATACTTTTTAGGTTCCAGTTTAGTATAGCGTAAAGACTCATCCGTACATTCTACTATTTCATTTTTATCTTCGAATTTACCTGTCTTGAACATTTCTTCGTCGTTTTGTAGAATATATACCATATCAATTTGTGTTCGTTTATTGTTCGAAGGGTACTCTGAAAGGTAAATTTCCGTTAATTTTATTAGTAATAATAAAGTGATAAAAGTTGTACCTCGAAGGAACTGAAACATTTCGATAACAGGTACATATTTCTGTAAGCTTCCGATATCAAAAAATGTATTCCAAGGCAATTGTGTTTGGGATCCTACGCGTTTACTTTGCCAATGGTATAAAATACCTGTAAGAAAATGTTTTTAAATAGAACGCAGCGATATCTAAGTATTATGTATATAGAAATTGCGAAATTACCCCATGGGGGCAAAACTAATTTCCATATGAATTTATTATTTTGTTTAATTAGGTTTCTCATGAAAACAGCGACACGAATGTAAACATCTCTCCTGAGATTGAAACCTTCCGGAGGATTAACGTCGTAAAATATGTAACTAAAAAATGATCCATGTTAAAACAAAGTGTCAATTTTATAAAACTGTAAAAGTAATTTCGAACCGGTTTAGCGAGTAACGCGATTGAACATTGCATTTCTCATCAATCTCTCCATATTCGTCTGATTTCTCACAAAATTCATTTTCGGCAACAGTTTGCGTAAAATTAATTAAAAATAATACGAGATAGAGTATTTTCAGAGAATATAAGTCTAACATTTTAAGGTTATATTTCACAACACCTTCAGATAATAGTACGAAATAATGTAAGAAATGTTTTCTGTAACGTTAATGTATAAATCGTCTATATAAAATACATATCTTACGAAAAAAATAAATTTTGTTTCTGAATATATTTAAAATCGTTTCGTTTGTTCTTAATGTATCGGACAGAATGATTAAAGTTTTATAAACTTAATTTTTATGTGCGTTTTCAATTAAAAATTTACTCCCTAATAATAAGATTGAGGACAGTAAAAAAACAACAGTAATAACAACAACATTGTACAGCTTGATTTTTGTTACACACGAATTACAGACTCATATCTCCCTTACTTCAAAGTGGTTGATGGGTAGATTACAATTTGCTAATTCAATCGATAATAGTTATAATAATGGTAATAATAATTATTATTTATCGTCTTATACAATATTTATAATTCATAGTTCAGTTAACATAGTTTGCGCCCCGCTTATAACAAGTAGGGCTGTTATGTTACATTTACTGCAACTCACTTCTCATATTCTTCCGTGTTTAAAGTATACACTTGGCATATAAAAATTACAAGGACAATTTATAATGATAATGGTAGTAGCGGTAGTTGTAGTTATAGTAATGATAGTGGTAGCACTAATGGTAGTTGTAGTTATAATAATAGTCATAGTAGTAGTATTAGCAGCAGTAGTGGTTGCAATAATAGTATCATCGTTATAATTATTTATCCAATAACTATGCGTCCTGTTATCATTTTTTTTTTCTCTTCGTGGCTTTAATTTTTCTATACGTATACTTGCACGAAACCTCAGGTCCAATTTTTTGGTTGCTGAGGATTCCATTGTGTTTTTAAGCGCTGAAATTGGCGCAGTCCCCGCAAAATTTGTGCCTCGTTGTGATTTTTAAACGTGTGCCATTTTATATATTCTTTTCACATTTTGTTAGCAATGGCGTTAACCGGTAGTAGAATTCTTAGTGCAAACATTGGTACATATTGTAATACTGAATTGTTGTTATAATGAATATAACATAAAATTCATTTCTATTAGACTAATCCTCTTTCTTGTTTCGCATCTCTATACGAATTCTCTGTTGTTAACGTCATGGCTAAAACGGGCTTTACCTCGACATGAAACACGCTATCTTACATTCATTACATAAAACGTGAAGTAATACATGGTATTAGTGATTTTCAAACAAAACATGAGTTTTTGCACAAACTGTACAGTGCCACTCATTCAAGTATACTACATACTATTCTTTCTAATAAATTTTTGTCTGTTTCCTTCCGTACGTACATATTTATCATATTTCTATTTGCCCTCTTTTGGTTCGACCGCACATAAAAATCAAAATAACATAAAATTTACATTTGTGTTTTATTTATTTATAGAAAGAGTTACAAGTATCTAGAAGAATAAATAAACACGTAAAATGATCTGCGGATGTTAGAAATAATGAACATTGAAGAACATGAAATAATTCGAAACACAGAAGATATATTTTAAGCGATTATTAAAGTTTGACGATAACTTGTAAGGGCAATCAAAAATATAACTTATCATTTTCGCCAATTCCTCGTTAAGCAATGAATTTGTGTATCTTTCTAAATATATTATTTGTGCTAAACAAAATTAATGATACTATTAGTTAGATCTCAAAATTTGTTTTTTTATGCACTGTGTATTGTACTATATACATATTACACCCCCTCTCCCCTTCCCCCACCTACCCACACACACATACCCACACTGTGCACGCACCAATAACACACGCGTATATATATATAACACTATATATATTTATATATATATGTAGTATAAAACTATACAATATATACTGGGAATAATTTTAATGGAAGATTCTAGAGGCAAAAATAAGACGAAAATAACAAATACCAATTTGTTGACGGAGGCTTCGTTAAGAAGTTATTAACGTTTATAGTTGCGGCTGTAGAACGGCAATTTGACCACCTACTCGAATTTTTTTCTCGAAAATGCGCAGGATTTCGTGGGTATGCCTATTCACCAAAAATGATTGTAATTGACCCTCGCAATCGAAAATAATTTTTTTAGAACAACACGAAATTTTTTTTTCGTCAACAAATTTAGGCACTTATTGAATTTTTTTCTCGAAAATGCGTAGGAATTCGAGGGTATGCCTGTTCACCAAAAATGATTGTAATTGACACCCGCAACCGAAAATAATTTTTCCAGAACGATTTGAAATTTTTTTTTTCGAGGCACCTACCACCTCTCGATTTTTCTTAAAAATTCGTTTTTCAATTTTAATAAATTTGGTTGACGCTGTACAGAAAAGTTGTTTAATACTTTATTGTAGGTATTCATGAGCTCTACTTCCCTACTGAATTTCAATGAGATAATTTTACTATTGTAGGAGTTATGGTCGTTTGAAAATTGGACCAGATTTTGTCAATATTGTTAGAATTTCTGCATATTTTTCACCGAAATACGCGTTGTTTGCATTCTGAAACTTTAAAATCCTGCAATCCGTTCAGAAGTTATGACGTTTTAAAGATATGCAAGAAGTTTCACATTAGATTTTCGGTAAGGAATTTTTTTCTCGAAAATGCGTAGGATACTGTGAGTACGTATAATAACCAAAAATGATCATAATCGATCCTTGCGCCGAGAATAATTTTTTTAGAACGATTTGAGAAATTTTTTTTTCGCCGGAAAATTTCATACTCGAATTTTTTTTTCGAAAATGGCTAGTATTTCGGGGGTATGTGTATTCACCAAAAGTGATTGTAATTGACCCCCGCAAGCAAACATAATTTTTTTAGAACGATTTGAAATTTTGTAATTTAATTTTGTTAATAACTTTTTAACGAAGCCTCAGTTAACAAATTGATATTCTTGATTTTCGTCTTATTTTGCGGTCTGGAATCTCCCATTGAAATTTTTCCCAGGGATGGCCGAACACCCTGTTATATGTATATAGTTTTATACTACTTCACATTTAGAGTTACTTTTGACAATTACCCGCTTACTAGCACGATCGTAATTTTATATGCTGGCACAATTACCTGACACTCCAGGTAAAATAGTCAGATATAAAGAAAAATCAGTATATGTTTAACTATATACTGACAATTTATATCTATTGCATACAAAATAAGTTTCTTAAACCATTTACTACTAGATACATCAAATTCTTTTAATTAAATTAGATATTATGCTTTATTTATAGCTGATGATGTTGACAAAAATGCCATTTAAATTAAACGTTTTTTTGTTCCATTTCTATTAAGATGGGGCCCAATGATAACTGTACAGTCCTTACATTTTTAATCGTATGCCCACTTTAATCTACTTTGTTCTTTGCTTGCGAACAAATTCACCTCAATTATCTGTTATATATCCATTGAGTTTTACATAATTGTTCTTAATTCATGATTGTAACTTTTAGTTTTTCCAGATTACTATAACAAGCTAATGCTTGAAAACTCAATTATATCGATAGATTCTGACAAAATTTTTTTACAGAATTTATTTAGAAGTAGTCAGAGATTTAATAGCGATTCAACTCTTCTTCAAACTATATTAAGATCGTAGTATATTCAACTGCATTTGGGCTTGTAATGAAACGTTTAAAAATTACAGATTTCGTTAATAAATAATTCATATATACACAGAGAAAGATATATACACATACACTTTCACGCACGCGCGCATGCGTACATATATGTACAATACCTAGCAGTAATACTCACAAACATATGTTATACAAAAAATTGAAAATAATGTCGAAATTGTTCTTCCGTCAGTTCGGCCGAATTGAGCATAAGAGAGAATATACAAAAAATATACATTTTAAAGTAACACATACTACAGATTGTTACATTACAGTATCATACATTATTACGTGTCTGTTTTTACCATATGCGAATATGTTATTTTCTTTTTTTCTGGTAAATAGAATTGTGTGCTAAAGAGAAAGAATTGCATTTAATATAACTTCGTTTCTTACAAATTACTTTCTATAATTTTATGATATGTGTGAACTGATAATAGGCGAACTTAGATATAGGTATCTTTTTTTTTTTCTATTAACACTGTTACATCGCTAGAAGCTATAAATATTTAACTGAAAAAAATCTCCCAGCATCGCTGTGGAGAATATATAAAATTTTCAATATAAATTTTATGTATATGTACGCAAACTTAGAACATTTACAATAAACTTAAGTTAATCGAAGGCATTTAGAAATCTAGATTCAAGCAAATGTTCATGTTCTTGGTAAAAACATTACGCATCCAATAGTTAATTGTTTATATCGTAAGTTTTGTTTGCTCAAGCTCCATTCGATACCGAGCAGTCGGGGAGTGCTGGATTCGGACAAAACTTTTTTTGTATTCATGTATCTATATATATTTAAATACATAGAAGGCGGTAAAGCTGCTACATATTGAATCATGATTTACATATATGCGATTATGAATGTGGCTGTTTTTTGGAAGGTTTGCTCTCGTTTGCTTTCCTTGGAATGTCCATAGACACTAATTAACTAGCATACATTAAAAATAAGTTCAGTCATTTACATATCCTGCAGACACTTCCGAAAGGGAGAGACGGCCATTCCGTTTCACAAAGTGCCTCAGCTTTGTATATCTATTCGTTTGTACAAATTAGTTCTGTACAATCATCTAGCATTATAGTAGTGAAAAGAGCATTTAACGTAACATTACCGTAGAAATGCTCTAATTCAAATGCAGTTTTCTATAATACATATAGAAAGCTGTTCTGTATCGCTAATGAACTAAACGTTTACGTGCAATTCCAAATAATTAATTTCTTTTTGTTGTTTCCGATACACCTACTTTCTAACACCTACTAAACAAACCTTGTACGTGAAAAATGTTCTCTTTACTATCGATGATTATTCTTAAAAAATCATGGATAGTATTTGTACAAAGAAAAAAGGGTACCACCGTATTTCAGTATTGAGGTAGCGTAACGTTGCTTTGGCTTAGCGAGTCTTTCTGATTATCTAGAAATATTTCAACTGATCGGTGGTACTTTGGGGGGAAAAGAAAAAGTATTACACGCCGAAGGACGAAACTGTACAGTATGATCTTTGCGTGTAGACATTATTGATCGTAAAATCATCGTACTGTATTGCGATGTCTTTGGTAGAAACTATTTGGTACGTTTGCGCCCATTCGGAAGGTCGTGCAGAGCCATGGGGGGTTACAACGAATGAACAGCTTGCAGGGGGGTTACTTCACAGGGAAACAAACATCAACAACAATGATTCCTCAATTATCAACAACATTAACAACATTCCATTATAACTTATCATCATTATTGTGATCGTCTCTATCGTGATCAGTTTTATGTCATTACAGTCGCTGTCATAAGTCTCAGTCTTTCGCCACCACCCTTCAGCCTGATAACATTTGTAATGGATAATTCTAATTATCATCGCAATCATTGTCTTCAGCAACATCATCATAACTGTTAGTAATATTTATGGCCATTGTCACCGTGTCCTTTCTCGTTCTTGCTATGGCCACCTTTAGTTTTATTGCAGGCTTCTCTTTGCATTTTATAATAACATTCTTGATCGCGAATTATCTCACTAATGATCATACGTAATAATAATTAATCGTTTCGGGGCTTTTCAAACAGAATTAGATATTCATAAATACTTACGAATCTGCTATTAACGTGGATTTCCCTTAAAAAAGAAAAATTTAGAAACGCTAAAATGAGAAATAATAAAAAATCTGTATATGTGACTGATTAGTTATTCAGTTACCAATTAAAATTACAAAGTTACTTAATTTTATAACATCTACTAACGCTTCATACGTGTACTTATACATTGCGCGAATATTTTGGTATAAAATGTCTGTCCTTAGTCCACGGTAAATAAAAAGGCGAGCTTTTCAAACACGTTTACGCAACCGATTTCATGTCCGATAATTTTCTAATTACGATAGTTGCTTCGGTGTATTTGTGTTTTTTTCTTTTAAATATATTACGAGTTTATATGTGATCTACAAACATTTAAAATTCATCGAAATAACAGAGGAGAGCAAGTATTCTGAAGCTCCATCTGTGCAAAGTGGTACATATATGTATATATACATACATATATACATATATACACACATATATATGGCTTATTAGGTCATCGTCTCATAGATGCGGAAATATAGAACGCAGTCTTGTCCCTTGTACATAAATAATTTCCTCAAGAGCCAATGGCACTAATACAATTTCGGGATTTTCATTTTGTGCGGTAAATGGTATCAAAATAGATGTTTTTAACTATTTGTTACACAGTATAAGTACGCAATGTAGTATAAGAAATATGTAATTACGTCGTGAAAATGTTTACGTTCTACACGTGATATTATTATTTCGCAGCTACGAATTACTACCCTTAAAAAATCAGGATAAATTAGAGTTATTGTCGTAATTATCTATAACTGATCTTACGGCTTTCGAGGAGAAATATATCGCATGATTTCTCGACTGTTCACTATATTTCGGTATCTATGTGAGAATAATTTATTCAGAATTACTATTTCTTATTGAAACATGTAACATGCGGTTTATGAATCGTGTGACATAAAAATCGATAAAACATTTGTAATTTGTTTTCTTGAACGTACGATATAATCGGGCCCTTTTTAACAGTTTATGTTCGATCACTTTTTCCATATTACCGCATATTATATTCTTAACAGTATGAAGATACCCTTAGAATGATACTTAAAGCTCTTACAACTTTTACAACACACTTGCGTACAGAGAGTAGTAATAGCTGGGGGGTTTTGGACTAGACGTGATGTGGTTGAAGATGAGGCAGCCTACTGGATAAGTTGGATCAGGATTTCATACTATTCGATTCATCGAGTCGCCTTTCTGTTCCTACAGTTAGTAAATTTGTAAATTCCATCTCTAATACTTGTCGAGCCTATGTAAACAAAGAAATATGAATCAGTTTAACATATAGAGACGCCAACAAATAATGATAATAATTCTTTTAATTTAGTACTTGTGTGTTTTGCGTTGGAATTTGCAATGTTAGAGCAAAACTATTCGCATCGAAACTTTCATCGAGAGCTATAAGAGCTCCATGGACCCCAGATTCCAAAAGGTGGTTTCCATATTCCTAAATACATAAAATTACATTTTATCCTAGAACGTAATGTATTATAAGAAAATAAGAACTTCGTGACATTGAAATTACTTTCAGGCCAATGGATTGCACCCATCTTATAACGCGATCGTTACTCCAAACAAGAACATCGACATTGGCGCCATCTGCCATTCGTCTTCTTTCTTCTAATTGTTGTCTATCGTAATTTAATCGCTTCAAACACGAAGTGCCATACTGTAAACTTGTCCTGGAAAAAATTTGGAAATTAAATATGAATCGTTGTTCGATACCAATCTTGTTCGAGTAAATTATTACCTGTGAAAACTATCGATCATTCTAAGTTGACCACGGAGATCCTTTTTGGTGAGGTGATCCAACATTCTGGCATCAACAAGGCACTCCATGAAAGTGGATCGATATTGTGGCAATCCAAGACTCGGTAGCCAAACATTACCAATCCATTCGTGGTTCATATCACCGAATGCTAAAGTTGTGCGAGAGGTTTTTGGTGCTGAAGGACTTGTGAGCGACACCATTTCTTGGATAGCTAATCTTAGCTTCAATCGATGTAGAGGATTACTGTAACAAAAAGTATTAATCGAAGCATAAAGTATGTACGTCAGATTTTAATGGGTGAACATTTCATTTCGTACCTAATGCCAATTTCACGTTGAATCTCGGTATCACTCAGAGCACTCATTATGGCACCACTTTTTACATTTGCTCGGCATGCTGCAACGTACCAAGTTGGCATGCCTACCCAGAGTTCGAGCCAAGCCACCACTGTTGGCCCGTTCCACAGAGCAAAAGGTGTTCCAGCTTTCATTGCCTCCGCTAGAAGTTCATGCCGCGAGGAATCCAGCATACTACCAAACATGCTGGGATTAGAAAAATATTTCAATAATATCAATTGTATAGACCAAGGATTGACAACTCTGGAATTTAAACGGACCGGAGTGCTAGAAAACAAGTCGTAGTATCATAGTATCGCAGCAGTGCAAAGTATTACTGCCTTTAACGATTGCTACTTCTATGGTGACCCGTTTAAACCAAATCAATCAACTACCTTCGAAACTATTAATCGTATTAAAATGTATTTCAAACAAAAGTTGAATAGTCTCATAATAGGGATCTGATAATTTTCTTCATAAAAATATTATGTCATTTGTTGCGAAAAATGATTGGTTTAAAAGAGCCCATAGCCCACGAGTTGCCTATCCCTGATGTAGACTCACCTGAAACTCATATACAATTCATATCGCTATCAATCATATATGTATATCTATGTATACCTTTTCTTTTTCCGACGATCAAAGTCACTTTTGCTGCCCATAGTTCCAGCTACGGCAACACTATCTCCATAATCGGGATCTGCGGGTGTACTTGCTCCTCCCATGCCTGGTATATCTCCAGGCATTGGTGTATCTTTTCCCTTTATCTGAAATAAAAATTCGCTTTCGTTAGTACTTTTATTTACATTTCTAGATATTGTAAATTTTATATACAGTAAGGAGCATTAATGAACCGATGACCACAAGTTTTGTATACATTTTTATTTATCGTTAAGAATGTGGAAGAATATTAAGAAATAAATATTACAGTAATTTTTATCATATTTAGAAGTAACGTAAGAAAGTTTTTCAATAATCAATGTCTCCTGGTTTAGCAATGGCAAAGAAAATGGATCGACTCGGTTTTGCACCGGTCGGTAAAAGGAATGTTTACGTGGAATGTTCTAGCAGAATGTTTAAAGCTAGCAGCTTCGAATGTTTACAAAATGTTATTGTACGTTTTTGCATTCAGTTTACCGCAATCAGTCGAACGGAAAGGCACGGAAGCGAAGTAAGAATAAGTATGAAGTCAATTGCTCCAAATTGTTTAAAAAAAGTCATTTCTTTTTTGAATGGCAGTTTGTCAAGGCATCAGACGGCGAAAAATTGTTAGACAATCGACAGTGCAGAGAATAAGAAAAAACTACTGTAAAGGTATATTACTTAATGTTGGAGGAAGACCAAAAAAGTGATCGCTGCAGGATGAACGAAGAATTATACGGTTTGTCACATCTGGTGAAGCTTCAAGTGCCATCATGGCTACACAATTATTAAAAGAAGATACGAATAGAAATAAGTAAATGGCACGAAGGACACTCAAATAAGCAGACTTTAGAGGCATTAAGAAGAAAAAGAAGCCAATGTTATCAAGGTCTGGGTTAGGTCTGAGATAAAAATTAATGTCGAATCACACTCGACATAGGAGTGCAAAGGGTTAAGATAATTTGGATTATTAACTAATCCAGACCTAACCCAGATCTAACTCAGATCTAATCCAGACCTAACCCAGACCTAACCCAGACGTAATGCAGACCTAACCCAGACCTAAGCTAGACCTAAGCTAGACCTAACTCAGACCTAACCTAGACATAATCCAGACCTAACCCAGACCTAACTCAGATCTAATCCGGACCTAACCCAGACCTAACCCAGACCTAAGCTAGACCTAAGCTAGACCTAACCCAGACCTAAGCTAGACCTAAGCTAGACCTAACCCAAACCTAACCGAGACATAATCCAGACCTAACCCAGACCTAACTCAGACCCTAGATCTGGGTTAGGTCTGGGTTAGGTCCGGATTAGATCTGAGTTAGGTCTGGGTTAGGTCTGGGTTACGTCTGGGTTAGGTCTGGGTTACGTCTGGGTTAGGTCTGAATTAGATCTGAGTTAGGTCTGGGTTAGGTCTGGGTTAGGTCTGGGTTAGGTCTGGGTTAGGTCTGGATTAAATCTGAATTAGGTCTGGGTTAGGTCTGGGTTAGGTCTGGGTAAAAAGTATCAAATCTGAACAACTACTGAATGGGAATGGGTTATTTGGTCAGACGAGACCAAAATTAACAGAATTTGTTCAGATGGCATGTCTCGGTGCTGGATTCGTAACAATGAAAGGCTTAAACCACCACATGTAAAGCAAACGGTAAAACATGGTGGCAGATCCCTAATGTTTTGGGGATGCCTAACAGCATTTGGTGTTGAATTACTGCACCAAATTAATAACATCATGAATCAGTACGTGTACAAAGATATTTTACAAGATCATCTCATAGATGCTGTTGAAAATATGCCATTCGAAGAAGAAAATGTAATTTTCATGCATCATCGAGACCCTAAGCACACTGCTAAAAGTGTGAAAAATTGGTTCGATACTAAAAAATTTTCTGTTTTGGATTGGCCTGGACAGAGCCCCGATCTCAACCCCATAGAGAATCTATGGGGGTTACTGAAAAGACGACTTTGGGATTCATGACTCCCAACCAACTTCAATCACGAATTTGCATAACAGAATTCAAGAACAGTGGGAACAAATATCTCCAGATTCTTGTAAAAAGTTACTAGAAAGTGTGCCAAAGAGAATTAGTGCAGTTTTTCAAGCAAAAGGGTGGTGAACGAAATATTAAAAATAAATAATATATTAAATATTGTGAAATATTGGACGTGGTGCAAAACTGAGTCAATCTATTGTTCGTATTATTCATAAACAACAAGATGTTAATTACCGAAAGACTTTCTTATGTTACATGTAACTGTGATAAAAATAATTATAATGTTTATTTTTTGCTATTCTTTTATATTCCTAGTAATAAATAATGATTTATGCAAAACTTGTGGTCATTGGTTCACTTATGCTCCTTACTGTACATGCGACTACGTACAACCTATTGTACCATAACTTGTTTATTAACAAGCACTTGATAAATTATTGTAGACACTGTATATTGCGTAACACGTTTATTTATTTATTTATACTAAAGGATACCAAATTTTTATACGAAATGGTGCTTGACAAGATTAGAAGCGTTTCAATTTAGTCTTAATCTACAAGCATTTATTCTATGTTTATAAGTCGTACCACTTTGTTCGTTGCAGATAGAAACAAAAAATAACACAAGGGAAATTGGAATGTTTGAGAAAAGTCTGCATCCTGTGTCTATTTTTCAGAAGATCAACGATGCACCGATAAAAGTGCAATTACACGTTCTTTGATAATTAAATATTGGACGTGGTGCAAAACTGAGTCAATCTATTGTTCGTACTATTCATAAACAACAAGATGTTAATTACCGAAAGACTTTCTTACGTTACATCTAACTGTGATAAAAATAATTATAATGTTTATTTTTTGTTATTCTTTTATATTCCTAGTAATAAATAATGATTTATGCAAAACTTGTGGTCATTGGTTCACTTATGCTCCTTACTGTAACTTTATCCATAAAGTCATTCACTTACTTTTTCTTTCTTGCTGAAGAATCTGCCAAGACTGCTTTTAATACCCTTCTTCTTCTGAGCGGCGGCAACCGCCGCGGCTGTTGCTGAACTCATGGTTGTTTGCATGTGCAAATGTGAGCTAGACAGCTGGCCAATCGGCAATCCGACACCAGCTAAGTTGTTCTTGTGCAAACTGTCCTGGCTGCTGTGACGTGAGGACAATGGGGAAGGGGGAGTCCCAGAATTGAGTGCGCCGTTGTTATGTTGCCCATGCCTGCTGCATGGAGCGCTAATCTAGTTTCTATCTCTACTCTAAACAATGCATTCTGACCCACACAAGGACACTATTTGTCTTTACTTTTCTTCTATATTCTATCTACCTTATCGAAATTTTCTTCGGATTTATTTTAACAATACAATTATATAATCAACTCAACGGTATTTGTTAAATTAACTAATACTTTTTATTGCATACTTTCATCTTTCTTACTAGGCACATTGCTGAATTTTAAAATGTGCTTTAAATTGCATAAGATAACATGTGATTAGGGAACTTACTGAGCCAAGTGAATTGCAGTACTTAAAAAATGTTAGCAATGGTACGATCACGTTACGCGCTTGTATAAATTTTTAATCTATAAGCATAAAATGTTATTTATCTTTAAATGATATTATATGTATGTATATATATAGTTAAAAGTATTCTCATCATTTTGTTACACTTGTATCTATTATTTTAAAGCATGAAAAACTAAATTCTTCTGCATGCATAAGCCTGTAATTAAATCTACATCCGATCCGATGAATTTGTCAATAAAATTCAAAATTTAATGATGGATAATGCACATATGAAAGTCATCACATCGTGACAATCGCTAGAAGCATATGAATCTATTAAACTAAGAAAACTACAAATGAATCTAGACGTCCATGGAAAAACGATATCGAAACTAAAGCAAATTTTAATCGATAGCGAAAACGTGGCAAAAACTAATGTCGAACGGAAAACATTTTTCCAGGGACATCTAAAGTTTTTAACTATTTTCAATCAAATAATGAGAAGAAAAAACTTGTAATACCTACTCAGTATTACAGGCAAGGCATAAAAACCTGGAAATATAGCTAATCACTGCTTATGAGATGGGATTGTCATATTAAGTACTCTTTAGGACAAAGATACAGAAGGACTATCTTGCTATAATACCTTCTTAACACTTTACCGACCGATAGCCTATTAATCAACTGTTTTATCGACCGACGTTTACCGACCGATAGGCTATTAATCGACTGTTTTATCGGCCGACGTTTACCGACCGATAGCCTATTAATCAACTGTTTTATCGACCGACGTTTACCGACCGATAGCATATTAATCAACTGTTTTACCGGCCAACGCTTACCGACCGATAGCCTATTAATCGACTGTTTTACCGGCCAACGCTTACCGACTGATAGCCTATTAATCAACTGTTTTACCGGCCGACGTTTACCGACCGATAGCCGATTAATGAACCGCTACCGGTCGGTAAAGTGTTAATAATACCATATTAAGTTGCTCGTCTGTAAATAATAAAATTAATTGCATAATACGACTGCGTCCATCTATATCTTTGCAATCTATTTTGTAAAAAGACAACCTTATTCGTGCAGAAGATTCAGACATGGCGTTTATTCGATGCAATTCTCTTGGCTGCCTAAATTCCCTCGTTTGTCTGAGACAGCGGTGTCTGTCGTGAACTGGGCAGGCTTGAATGTACGATGGGTGGAAGAAGCTACTATCAGTTTCTTCCGGGGACTCATTTCTATCAGATCTATCAGATGGTTCGTCCGTACCACTGTGCTCGAAAATTGGGGCTGTAGGCATGTATATGACACCTTGTATACTATTCGTTTGATTCCATTATTTTGCGATAAGAAATTCATTTGCAAACGATAGAAAAACACTCGCGACATACAGAAACCTTGGATATTTAAAAGCTACACTAGGTAAATATTGACGTTTATCATTCTCTATTTTGCTCTTTCATAAGTAAGTTCCTTTTTCCAAAATAGTGGTACAAAAAGGATCTGTTACCATCGATGTCACTTATGTCGACCTCAAGGTTGTTCATTTCATGCCCACATGGACCACTCAAATATGTCGGGCACAGCGGCATATGTTGCGGATTACATGCAGTACTACAATCATTAATTAACCTGTGAGCAGGAAAACCACTGCTGGGAAATCCGGTTTGTCTAGTGCGTCTGGCAGCATAAACAACGGACAATACTACTTACAAAATCATTAGATGACTTTTGGCAATCCCACCTCCATATATGCAAGGACTTCAATAATTTAATTACTTCATACATTTCATTACTCGAGCGTTTACAATTTAATAAAATAACACACTGTTGGTATTCAATTGCGTACAAGAAATGTAACTCTTATTTCCCAGCAAAGTAACAAGAGAAATAATTAATAATTCACTTTTCAAGGAGTCCTTATTGTCAGAGATGTGGTTGCTAAAGTATTGTTTATAGTGTACTATCAGTTTTTGTTCGGATAATACTCGTGTAGTTCAAGCATCGACACAAAAAATGTGGTACTTGTCGATAATGATAAATGGAAAATTAAACGCGTACCTTCTCAGCTCCTCTTGACTATGCGCAAGCGCTTGTACTGCCCGTTCCAGCCTGATCGATCGAGCGGTCAATGGTGAAGCTGCATCGCTGCCAACACTTCCTGCACCGCCAGTACTGTCTCTTTCGCTCACTGAATGCAATTCTTCGCCTGACAACTGCAACTACGATACGAGAGAAAGTTACATGTACGTTCCCACAAATTATTTACAGAAATAATTTTAATCGCGATGGGAACTGACCTGGCTCGCAGGAAGAGATTCTGAAAGTTGACCTGGACTAGCTAAAGAGGCAGCATACTGGTGGAGATGTGCCGGAGACATAGATGCTGGAGCCTTTGAACGAATAACGAAATTAAATTGGAACAATGGAAAAGTATAAATTAAAAGACAATGATACTCACAGTATGATACTTGTGTAAGTAATCCCTATTAGGACTGTGATGTGATTTTGGTGTAGATCGTCCACTCAACGGTGGCGATGCTCGTTCGAGACTTCGTCCCCTCACCAATAAATTCATATGTTCAAGACTACCTACGCGGGATTCCAATTCTTCCGCGCGTGCTTCGGTACTTTGTTTTTCTTCCTAGTAGAATATTCAAATTAAACTGTCCTTTATTAACACTTTGACGACCGCTCACACAACATGTGTGCGATGCTACCGCCGAAGGTTGTTGGCCAGTACCACACTCTTTGTGTGATAATTTATGAATGTAAACAAGCGTGGATATTACTATTGGCTTCGTATTTCATCGCCACGTCTTTGATTTTAGGTAATTATTGCCAATTTTTTATTTTTGATTTTAAACTACAGTGGGTGTACCACGTAAATTATGGAGCAGATATCGGCGCTCGACGTTGGTGTAGTACGCTAAGCTGCCGTACAAGCGCTAGTGTCGCGCTCGTTTTCTAGTTCAAAATGTTGAAATAGCGCTAGTTTCACTTGTGTTTTGTTGAAGCAACAACAAGTAACAATATGACAACAGTAAGTACAATACGACAATATTAGCAAGTTTTATTATTGACTACAACCGGTATATGAAAGGGGTCCAATACTTGAGTTATTACCCCATTTATAGAAAAACAAAAAAGTGGACCAAGAAAGTTTCTTTGTATTTCATAAATTGCGCCATATTTAACTCGTTCTGTATATATCGACATTTGAACAAGGAGCACATTCGGAAATTAAATTACCACGATTTTTTAATTAAATTAGGAACTGCGTGGATTAAAAATGATGCTGATTCTACTACATCTCGTGTCGTTCGTTCCAATCCAGTGGAAAGATTAACTGGAGGAATAAAACATCAATTAGTTCAAATATCGGCAATAAAAAAGGGTGTACGAAGGGATTGCCATGTTTGCTATGCAAATAAAATTAGAAAACCTACATATTTTATGTGCAAGACATGTAAAATACCATTACATGTAGGTGATTGCTTTAATAATTATCATACAAAGGAAAAATATTAACACTAGATTGCCCAAGGAAGTCATTTTGACTGCTTTTTAATTTCAATTAGAAAAACAATTATGTATATAATGACACAATTTCTTAGAATTTTGTGACTTTTTGCACAACATATAAATGCGTTTATTAATAATTGTAGTTACCTTACCCCTCCTTCATTTCCGGTATATATATATGTGTTATACCTATATCGCCCAAAAGCAGTCATTTTGACTGCTTGGGAAATTTTAAATAATCAAATCACTCTTATTATTGAATTGAGTAAATTTCTTATATGACCAGTTCGGCTCTGTATTGAAATAACAGTTTTCATTTTTTTTCGATTACCAACACATGATAACATACAAGTACATGATAAATTGTCGATTTGGGCGTACCTAACCCAGACCTAACCCAGACCTAACCCAGACCTAATCCAGACCTAACCCAGATCTAATTCAGATCTAATCCAGACCTAACCCTGAGCTAACTCAGGTCTAATCCAGACCTAACCCAGAGCTAACTCAGATCTAATCCAGACCTAACCCAGACCTAACTCAGACCTAACCCAGATCTAATCCAGACCTAACCCAGATCTAGGCTCTGGGTTAGGTCTGGGTTATGTCTCGGTTAGGTCTGGGTTAGGTCTGGATTAGATCTGAGTTAGCTCTGGGTTAGGTCTGGATTAAATCTGAATTAGATCTGGGTTAGGTCTGGTATAGGTCTGGGTTAGGTCTCGGTTATGTCTCGGTTAGGTCTGGGTTAGGTCTGGATTAGATCTGAGTTAGCTCTGGGTTAGGTCTGGATTAGATCTGGGTTAGGTCTGGTATATGTCTGGGTTAGCTCTGAGTTAGGTCTGGATTAGTTAATAATCCAATTTTAAGATAATTTGGATTATTAACTAATCCAGACCTAACCCAGACATAAACCAGACCTAACTCAGATCTAATCCAGACCTAACCCAGAGCTAACTCAGATCTAATCCAGACCTAACCCAGACCTAACCGAGACATAACCCAGACCTAACCCAGACCCTAGATCTGGGTTAGGTCTGGATTAGATCTGAGTCAGATCTGAGTTAGGTCTGGGTTAGGTCTGGATTAGATCTGAGTTAGCTCTGGGTTAGGTCTGGATTAGATCTGAATTAGATCTGGGTTAGGTCTGGTATAGGTCTGGGTTAGGTCTGGGTTAGGTCTGGATTAGTTAAAAATCCAAATTATCTTAAAATTGGATTATTAACTAATCCAGACCTAACCCAGACCTAACCCAGATCTAATCCAGATCTAATCCAGACCTAACCCAGACCTAACTCAGATCTAACTCAGATCTAATCCAGACCTAACCCAGACCTATTGATAAATTGCAGTTTCTCAATAACCTAAAGTAGTACTTGTTATTCGAATCTTTATGCAGTGATACTTGTTCTAACAAGTTGTTTATTTTATTTCTGCGCCCTAAATTCATAATATTATAACATAATATTAAAAATTCATTTTAAACAAATTTCTTTACACATTAGTTAGTCTTTCACGATGCAGTAATTTTGACTGCTTTTGGGCAATATAGGTATATACTAAGTCTCAGTCTTTCTAGTGTTAAATTTGTCGTTAAATTGTTGTTGTTTTTTGTTTTATGTTAACTTTTTCGTGAATTCAATAAAGTTCTTTAAAATTAATTCTTGAAAAATACTGCCAGGCCCCTGGAGACGTTTGACTGCGTAGACGGGCGGTCGTTAAAGTGTTAATACACAGATTATAATAAAATGAAGAAATTTTAATTACCTGAATCAACCTAATTTCATTATTAATTGCATCTAATTGTTCCTGTAACATTAATGCTAACGTTTGAGCATCTGTGTGCCCCGTAGGACTAATTACATCGGCCGCACAACTGAAAAGACTTTCGTTATCCCCGTCGCCCTCCGCATCGCTGGAAACGTCAAACGCTTGCTGCACATTTGCAAGAACATGCGCTTGCTGCAACTTTTCCCATTCCTGTTCCGCTAAAGTGCGTGCTACATAATTCTGAAAAATTTTGCAATATGTTTCTTGGATTCTTCGATCGTACATTTCGGTATTTTATTAGCCAAAGATACCTTGGACGAGTCTTCTTCGATCGCGGATCGTTTGGCTGACCTCCTTGGCAGTGAGTGCGTGTCAAAACTACTGTGACTTGCGCTTCTAGAGAAAGAGCCAGGATCCACTGCATTGGGAGACAAACTTCTGGTCAAAGCATCTGTTTGTTGGATATTGAATGCAATTTCTTGTTGAAGCATTTGCCTTTTCACATTATCGATTTCAAGCCGGGCCTTTCCCAATTCCTTAACTATATCGGCCTTTTCATTCTGAAGATCTTCAGCGAGCTTTCTTGTCTTCTCGAGCTCTTGCGTAAGCGCATTCTTCTCTTCCAATGCGTGCATTCTTTCTTTCAAATGCAGTTGTAGTCTTTCGTTAGATTCTGAAAGTACATATCAAAACATAAATATCAGAAAACTTTTACTATAGGTAAATTCAACCAAAATGAACGTAAATTACCAGACAGAAGTTTATCAACGGTCGCGCTAAGTCGCGTATTATGTTCCTCGTTCATTTTTAGTCGCTGATTGACTCGCATCACTTCCGCATTTTTCTCTTCGAGTTGCGTTTCTAATCTTTGTATCCTATCTTCAGCGCTGCCGTGTCTTTCTTGAGCCTGCTTGTTAAATATTAGATACCGTTAAAATTACTTATCTAGATCATGCTGGAATTTCAAACAGATTTAAATATAATTTTGTGAAAGTATAATTATTTAATTATTCTTTACATGAAAGTACAGGTAAAATTAACTTAATTTAGATTTAAAATGAAGATTTAACGAATTTAGTTAGTGAAGAATAAATACGTGCCTAAACACTGTTTCTTAGAGAAATGTGATAAAAAAAATTAAAACTATAGATTAATAACAAGCTTGAAAAATAATAACATCGATCGCTTTGCTTAGTATATTCAGTGTTAGACTGAAATTGAATGTATTATTTCCAATACGGAATACTATTTATTACGAGCTTCAATATTACCTTTGTAATCAATACTATTTGTTTTCTAGTTAAATTTTTTTTATCAGAAATAGATACAAAATGTTGTATCAGGATTGACGGCATAGTGTACTTATTAATTCGAGCACATTAAATGAGAACTGTAAGAAAGTTTTCGAGTAGTGTTTGTTGTTTGCGTAGCACGTAATCGAGTACTGCATGAACAGTGATATAAAGTATGCGACAGGAGGACATTGCTGTAAGTTAAATACGTTAACTGAGGTACAGTAAAGATTAATTTTAAGAAAAAGTATCGGAGAGGCAAGCATTCTAGACAAAGATATATTTTGGGGAGAATCAACAGAAGTGCAGAGGAATAAAAATAGGACAAATTTGATGATACGATTTAATTCCCCTGCGTACCTGGTTGGGCCTCCTCACCTGCGTCAGAGCCTCCATCCTCTGTTTCAATTGCTCTTCCATTTCTGGTAACTTAGCGTACTGGGCTAATTTCTGTTCTGCCAATTCCAGTTTCTCCTGTATAGCTGCTATTTTTTCTTCTTGGAGCTAACAAATATTTAAACCCAGTCGTGTAAATAATAACAATCTTTCGCAAATTCGTTTTCGATTCATTTATCAAATACAAGTACGAATTACCTTTAATTGAGCCTTCTTGTGTTGCAGCTCCTGTTCCAATTTTTCATTGAGATCATGCAAACTAGTAGATTCCCGTTGAGCATTAAGATATCGTTTTTCAAGAGTTGCTATCCTCTCTTCTTGGTCCTCTTTTTGGGCAACATTTTCGCGCAGGTCTCTTTGTAGTTTGACATTCGTTTCTTGCGTCTTTAGGAGGTCCTTTTGCGCCTTGGATAAAGATTCCTCCAACTCCGCTACTCGACCACTTAATTCTGCTACCCGTCGTTGCCATGTGCTTAACTCTGAGCTCTAAAATAAGCATTACAATCATTATTAAAAACGTTCATTCGACTTTACGACATTATTTATGTGTTTGTGGAAAGAGTATTAAGAAGGGCATTACAGTATCTATGCAATCTGTAATACGACAGAAACTTTTGTTATTTGACCTAAAATTTTTAGGGTACTACATGAAAGGTTTTATCTACTTTAAACATAAAATATTATTTTATAAATTGTATACGTGTTTACATTGTATAGAATGTTTCGTGTCTGTATATATACGTTACATTAATAATCAAGCTGTTTATACAACAAATTTGTTTGGAAGATATTCATTCTTAATCACTAAACCATGCGAATACGGGACACGTGAAAACACGTCGTTATATTCATTCCAACAACATGCCATGGGCACCATTGAAAATGGCACATGAAAGAAAGAGAGAGAGAGAGAAATAATCAATGTTGTGCGAGACAGTGTTATCGAACATGTTGATACAGTTTCTGTTAAACGTTTGAAAAAATTCCATCTCAGTGGCGGGAAAATTTTAAGTTGTACCACAACTATCTGTTCTGATCCGTAACGTTTAATAGACATAGACTAAAACTGATCTTGAAGAGAATTCTTTAGTGTCGGTGTTACATACAGACTAAAACCATTAATAAGGATATTATTTTAACATGATATAATTCTATTTGCGATAACATCATGCACTGTAATAAGAAAATAAAGGTAATTCTTTGGAATCATGGCCGCCTCACCAATTTGGATCAAATATGGTGAAGGTATCAATATTTTAAACAACTTTTCCCTATATTCATAGGGTATATAGGATACATTGTATTGAGTAAAAAAAGTTTATTAAACATAGGTCGAAAGGTCAACCGTTTCTGAGTTTTTAAACTTTTTTGTTTGTTATTATCATAATTGACTTGCTACTGAATTTTCAATGTTTACAGAAGATTTTTCATGCGTCCACCTTCCATTTTTAGACACGCTTGGCATCTTCATTTTACAGAATCGCTAACTCTGGAAAATTCCATATTTCTGTCGAATTGTTTGATAAGAATGATGGATTTGGTTACGTAATTCTTCTAAGTCATTCATCGGAGAGGAATACACTTTTTAAATATCCCCATAAGAAGAAGTCTAAAGGGTTTAAATCGGGGGATCGAGGAGGCCATGCAACTGGTCCACCATGTCCAATCCACCTTTAATCGAACACCATGTTCAAATGGTCTCTCACATTACGCACAAAATGAGAAGGCGCCCAATCATGCATGTACCACATCGATAATCTTTCTGCCAAAGGCATATCATCCAAGTATCGAGGTAATGTATTCACCAAGAAGTTGAAATAAGCAACTACGTCAATCATGACACTAGCAAAAATGTTTATATCTCAAAAATGGTTGACCTTTCGACCTATGTTTACTAAAGCTTTTTTACTCGGTACAGTGTATCCTGTTTTTTATGTTTTTTTGAACACCCTGTATATGTTATCGCTGCTCAGCTATAGTCTTTGAGATATTTGCAAAAAATTGTTGCTTCTCCATAAAATTAAATTCTAATACCACAGGCATTCATTTCAGCGTGAAGGAAGATGAGGTGTAAAGGTCAGAACTTGTGTATTTGCCATGATCAGATTGAGTTTTATTAACACTAGAAAGACTGAGACTTAGTATATACCTATATTGCCCAAAAGCAGTCAAAATTACTGCATTGTGAAAGACTAACTAATGTGTAAAGAAATTTGTTTAAAATGAATTTTTAATATTATGTTATAATATTATGAATTTAGGGCGCAGAAATAAAATAAACAACTTGTTAGAACAAGTATCACTGCATAAAGATTCGAATAACAAGTACTACTTTAGGTTATTGAGAAACTGCAATTTATCAATAGGTCTGGGTTAGGTCTGGATTAGATCTGAGTTAGATCTGGGTTAGGTCTGGGTTAGGTCTGGGTTAGGTCTGGGTTAGGTCTGGGTTAGGTCTGAGTTAGGTCTGGATTAGATCTGGGTTAGGTCTGGGTTAGGTCTCATTTACACTGTTGTTGTATTTTGTAATTTCCAAGTGTATGATTTGGTTTGGACTCGAAAAAATGTTGAATGGGACTTGACGAACAATGCTTTTAAGTGTTTTATTTGCAATTTACCTGTTAAAATAAGTGTTTTATTTACACTGTTGTTGTATTTTGTAATTTCCAAGTGTATGATATCTGTTTGGTTTGGACTTGAAAGAATGTCGAGTGAGACTTGATGAAGGTGCTCCTGAGATCAAAATTGATGTCGAATCACACTCGACATAGGAGTGCAAAGGGTTAAGATAATTTGGATTATTAACTAATCCAGACCTAACCCAGACCTAACCCAGACCTAAACCAGACCTAACCCAGATCTAATTCAGATCTAATCCAGACCTAACCCAGAGCTAACTCAGATCTAATCCAGACCTAACCCAGACCTAACTCAGATCTAACTCAGATCTAATCCAGACCTAACCCAGATCTAGGGTCTGGGTTAGGTCTGGGTTATGTCTGGGTTAGGTCTGGGTTAGGTCTGGGTTATGTCTGAGTTAGGTCTGGGTTAGGTCTGGATTAGTTAATAATCCAAATTATCTTAAAATTGGATTATTAACTAATCCAGACCTAACTCAGACCTAACCCAGACCTAAACCAGACCTAACCCAGATCTAATTCAGATCTAATCCAGACCTAACCCAGAGCTAACTCAGATCTAATCCAGACCTAACCCAGACCTAACTCAGATCTAACTCAGATCTAATCCAGACCAAACCCAGATCTAGGGTCTGGGTTAGGTCTGGGTTAGGTCTGGATTATGTCTCGGTTAGGTCTGGATTAGATCTGAGTTAGATCTGAGTTAGGTCTGGGTTAGGTCTGGATTAGATCTGAGTTAGGTCTGGGTTAGGTCTGGATTAGATCTGGGTTAGGTCTGGTTTAGGTCTGGATTAGATCTGGGTTAGGTCTGGGTTAGGTCTCATTTACACTGTTGTTGTATTTTGTAATTTCCAAGTGTATGATTTGGTTTGGACTCGAAAAAATGTTGAATGGGACTTGACGAACAATGCTTTTAAGTGTTTTATTTGCAATTTACCTGTTAAAATAAGTGTTTTATTTACACTGTTGTTGTATTTTGTAATTTCCAAGTGTATGATATCTGTTTGGTTTGGACTTGAAAGAATGTCGAGTGAGACTTGATGAAGGTGCTCCTGAGATCAAAATTGATGTCGAATCACACTCGACATAGGAGTGCAAAGGGTTAAGATAATTTGGATTATTAACTAATCCAGACCTAACCCAGACCTAACCCAGACCTAAACCAGACCTAACCCAGATCTAATTCAGATCTAATCCAGACCTAACCCAGAGCTAACTCAGATCTAATCCAGACCTAACCCAGACCTAACTCAGATCTAACTCAGATCTAATCCAGACCTAACCCAGATCTAGGGTCTGGGTTAGGTCTGGGTTATGTCTGGGTTAGGTCTGGGTTAGGTCTGGGTTATGTCTGAGTTAGGTCTGGGTTAGGTCTGGATTAGTTAATAATCCAAATTATCTTAAAATTGGATTATTAACTAATCCAGACCTAACTCAGACCTAACCCAGACCTAAACCAGACCTAACCCAGATCTAATTCAGATCTAATCCAGACCTAACCCAGAGCTAACTCAGATCTAATCCAGACCTAACCCAGACCTAACTCAGATCTAACTCAGATCTAATCCAGACCAAACCCAGATCTAGGGTCTGGGTTAGGTCTGGGTTAGGTCTGGATTATGTCTCGGTTAGGTCTGGATTAGATCTGAGTTAGATCTGAGTTAGGTCTGGGTTAGGTCTGGATTAGATCTGAGTTAGGTCTGGGTTAGGTCTGGATTAGATCTGGGTTAGGTCTGGTTTAGGTCTGGGTTAGGTCTGGGTTAGGTCTGGATTAGTTAATAATCCAAATTATCTTAAAATTGGATTATTAACTAATCCAGACCTAACTCAGACCTAACCCAGACCTATACCAGACCTAACCCAGACCTAACTCAGACCTAACCCAGACCTATACCAGACCTAACCCAGATCTAATTCAGATCTAATCCAGACCTAACCCAGAGCTAACTCAGATCTAATCCAGACCTAACCCAGACCTAACTCAGATCTAACTCAGATCTAATCCAGACCTAACCCAGATCTAGGGTTAGGTCTGGATTAGATCTGGATTAGATCTGGGTTATGTCTGGGTTAGGTACGCCCAAATCGACAATTTATCATGTACTTGTATGTTATCATGTGTTGGTAATCGAAAAAAAATGAAAACTGTTATTTCAATACAGAGTCGAACTGGTCATATAAGAAATTTACTCAATTCAATAATAAGAGTGATTTGATTATTTAAAATTTCCCAAGCAGTCAAAATGACTGCTTTTGACCAATATAGGTATAACACATGTACCGGAAATGAAGGAGGAGTGAGGTAACTACAATTATTAATAAACGCATTTATATGTTGTGCAAAAAGTCACAAAATTCTAAGAAATTCTGTCATTATTTACATAATTGTTTTTCTAATTGAAATTAAAAAGCAGTCAAAATGACTTCCTTGGGCAATCTAGTGTTAAAGGCGAATTTAACTTACATTTCCCTTTGCAACAATAGCAATCAGGGAACATGTATAATCAAAGTTTTCACTTTACTAGCAGTATGAGTCTAATTATGGCCCATACATAAGTTCCAAGTTCCCCCAAACCCTAAACATTAAATTATTTATATCAAATTTCATTTCATTATTGGACTTTTAGGTTATTCCTACCTAATATTATAAATTACTTTACGATTAATTAAAAAAGTTTAAATTATCACAATTATCTTAACTTCAATGGAATTAAATTTAGTATTACTCTAACGATTCGTACACTTTAAATGTAATGTCTTCTAGTCACGTGTATACTAATTATCAGTGTCACAAAATGGTGTTTCTCGCACACAATCTAAGGGCTAAGGACAGTTACACATATTTATATGATAGGATAAACTATATTTAACATATACATATAAGGAAAAATTGTTTAGAATATTGATATCTATAACAAAATTTCAATATCATCCAAAACAATGAGGCGGCCATGATAATTACCGACAGAACTAAATGAAAGTTTCTATCTTGTTACTTGAAAACTTATAACAATAATAATATTTGTAATGTTCTGGCAAACTTATGCGAATCATTTGAAATACATGCACGAATAATGGAGAGAAACTATATTCGTTCTGCGTTTAAAAAAGTGAGCGAAAAACGTTGCAGATATTAAAGAAACGTTCTATGAATAATATCTATACCTGAACCTTCCTAAACGAGTGATCATACGTACTCAAAACGATTCGTCGCCGTGATACAGTTTCATACCTGTTTGTCAAGAGTGGCTTGCAAATCAATTACTCGCGCCGCAGAGTCCTGGTCCGCCGGATCTAGACTGCCATTGCTCAGCCTATTCCCAATTTCTGTCGACCTCTCGGTACCTAGCTTATGTATCGACTGCGGCTGCTGTTGCGGCTGCTGCTGTTGCTGTTGCTCCGGCTGGCCTGCTGCCTGCTCAGTCTCATTCTGCCCGATCACAACACTACATTCAGAATGCCTCGCTCGCATCGTCTGTCCTGCATCGCCGCGCAATCCCCAACAACTACGTCTATACAGCTACGCGGCTAAGCCTCTACCACCATGCACTATTGCAGATGCACTCTTATGGATGCAACGATTGAGATGAATGACAAACAAACGGTCCTTTATCGGTACAGATTTGAACTCTGCGCTCAAGTTGAACGATATATCATCGAGTCGACGCAAAAGGTTGAACAGAAATGATTCAAGGTACGTTCCGCGATAATGAATCATGGGATGAAGCGTACAATGCCTGTTGCTGTTTTAAATTGTAATACATGACTCCCCGATGATCGAATGGCTTCCAAGATGACACAGTCAAATCATGTCTATCGATTGTCAACACACAAGCTACGATATTCTGATCTCGTTAGGGCTGAAATCTGTGACCAATAACTTTGAAATCAATCAATACATAACGCTGAGATTAGAAGCGTATATACGTATATCGCGGAGAGCGAACAGTAGATTCCGATGACACAGGTAAACGAAGTTTATCGTTCCGAATGAAACGACTGTTGGTAAAATACTGAACTATATCAAAACCATGAGCATGCATAGTGTGAAAAGAAACGACGCATAAATACAATTCACGGACGCTCAAACACGTTGAACACCTTTCATGTATCCATGATGAATGTGAAGTATGAGGACGGCAGTGTTTGTGAAATATCTGTGAGTGCATATATGCATGGGTGTGCAGTATATTGTATCTGCGTTTCTTGGGTACCTTGTTCTGTTGCTGGCCGTCCTCCGTTTGTCCGTTCTCCTTGGGCCTGTCCTCTATAGCTTTAGGCACGTGTCCACTCAATTTGTATTGCTGGAGCTGCGATTGAATTCGTTTCAATTATCAATTTCATACGTATCATTCGACTATTAGACTGCTGTATAATTACGATTTCTTTAGACTTGTTCATCCAGTAATAATACTTATTTAAAACGGTACCTCCTCTTTGGTAATGGCTAATTCTTCATCCAAGCTCGTATTTCTTTCCAGTGCAACGCGTAGTCGTTCTCGCACCTACAAATTGGTCACCATTAAAGATAATTGTACTTTCGCATACAAAAACGCTGCGTTTGCCGATGTTAATAACTTTTAACAGAAGACATTTAACCCTGAACTGATAGAATCAAAATGATCGTTGTTTTTAAATGTTTCTACATGTATTTATTAATTTCAGCTACTTCTCACACCTATATGTCTTAATCAGTATTGGCACTCCACCTTTATTAAACTTGTACATATTGTGTCATCCTATAATTTCCTGTCGAGTTTTGTACTAGAATTTAAAATACTGTTTTATAATGCTTCTTTACTATTGCATATATTGGGTTGGCAAGAAAGTAATTTCGGGTTTTTAGTGTGAAATAAAACTCAATTTTTATGCTTGGGATCATGATCTCGTTGGAAATAGTAGTTTTCGCCAAGATTTAATTTTTCCACACTTTTTTAAAAGTTTTGTTTCAAAATATTTAAATATACAAACTTATCCATAATACCGTCTATAAAAACTAGTTCTCCAAGTCCGGAGGAACTCGTACAACCCCATACTAATATACTACCACCCCGTGTTTAACAGTTGAGACTATGTTATGTGAATCCAACTTGGTATTATACTTTCGCCATATTCTTATTTCACCATCAGATTTAAAAATATTAAATTTACTTTCGTCAGGGAAGAGTATTCTATCCCAAAATTCTAAATTTGTGTGTACATACATCTTTGCAAACTCTAATCTGTTTTTTCGATTAATTTTGCCCATCAATGGTTTTCTTCTAGCCACTCTTGAATTGTGCACTTTTAAGAACTCCCTGGATAGTTATAGGATGTACATCCACCTTATTTTCACTTTTCATTTCTCCCACTATTTCAGTAGAGGCAACTTTAGGATTCTTTTTACAATCTTGGTAATTTTCCGTTTATCTCGTTCTGATAATTTCTGTGGACGACCACTTCACGGAAGATTTTTTACATTTTGTTCGTCACGAAACCGTTTAACGATATTTCTTACGGTGAAACGACTTCTATTTACTATTCTAGCTATCGTAGAATACGAATTTCCCTCTTTTGATAATTTTAATATAATTTTCCTTCATAAATTGTTGTTTCTCGTGTTTTCCGATACGTTGTTGTGTTATTCACTTTATTACAGGCAAACTTAGTAAGAAATAACAAATGAATATCAAATTGAATCTCGGGACTTCCCTGGATACAACAGTCATGCCAATATTATAAATATTTACACAAGTGTTTCATAGAAATATTTATTAATTTCAGCTACTTCTCACACCAATATGTCTTAATCAGTTTTGGCACTCACAACCTTTATTAAACTTGTACATATTGTGTCATCCTATAAGTTCCTGTTGAGTTTTGTACTAGAATTTAAAATACTGTTTTATAATGCTTCGTTTTCGAGATAATGGTATTTACAAATTTGCCATATACGTGTACTATTGCATATATTGGGTTGGCAAGAAAGTAATTTCGGATTTTTAGTGTGAAATAAAACTCAATTTTTTCTATACAAAAAATGAACTTTAATCGGGCAAATGTCTTCCATTTTGTTGGATGACCTTTTGCTCTTGAAATTTTTCTCTCTGAAATTGTTTCTCGTGTTTTTCGATACATTGTCGTGTTATTCACTTTATTACAGGCAAACTTAGTAAGAAATAACAAATGAATATCAAATTGAATCTCGGGACTTCCCTGGATACAACAGTCATGCCAATATTATAAATATTTGCACAAGTGTTTCGTAGAAATATTAAATTTACAAGTGTGCCAATACTTTTGTTTCGTCGAAAACTGTCCTCTGTGTATTTGTTACTATTTTTCATTATTACAAGTCTACTTAACCGCTTTATTTCGCGAGATACTTGAAGTTTAAACCTCAAACTTATATTTTATACAAGAATAAAGAAGACATTGTGATTTATTCACAGCTACATAACATTTTATTTGAAAATACGGTCTGTACCAATACTTTTGTTCGGCACTGTATACCGGGCTCTGCTCAAATTCATCGTTTTTTGCGACTGTTCGAACCCGAGTTTCAGTCTACCTGCACACCCCTAAAATTAACCAATAAGCATAATAAGAATTCCCTTAGAGAACCACGGGAAAAGGGCACCAGAAAGCTTTTTTTTCAGTGTCGCTTGCTGGATGACTGCAAGATTTGAAGCAATTGCAAAATAAAATGCTACCAGACATTAACTATTGGGTTGTCAAGAAAGTAATTTCGAGTTTTTAGTGCGAAATAAAACTCAATTTTTTCTATACAAAAAATGAACTTTGATCGGTCAAATATCTTCCATTCTGTTCGATGACCTTTTGCCATCTTTCTGGTAATTTCGTGATCCTGCGCTCATAGAATTTCTGGTCCTCAACAGCAAAAAACTCAAGTGTGATTTGAGGTGATCGTTATTACTGAAATTTTTACCATTTAAGAAGTTTTGTAAACCTCGAAATAAATGATAATCTGATGGTGCAAGGTTGGAGCTGTATGGGGGATGCGACATCACTTTCCAACCAAGCTCCAATAGTTTCGTACGTGTTGCTAAAGATGTGCGAGGCCTCGCATTGTCGTGGTGGAACACGATTCCTTTGCGATTTGCCAATTCTGGTCTTTTCTTTCTGATTGCTTCTTCTAATTTCACAAATTGCTGCCAGTAAACATCCGAGTTGATCGTTCGGTTGTTTGGAAGCAGCTCAAAATACACAACACCTTTGTAATCCCACCAAATTGACAGTATGATCTTTTTTTGATGCTACTCAGCTTTTGATATGGTTTGTGCTGGTTCATCGTGCTTGGACCATGATCTTTTTCGATCAACGTTACCATAGACGATCCATTTTTCATCGCCAGTGATAACTCGTTTGAAAAAAGGGTCGATTGCATTACGTTTGAAACGCGTATCACAAATATTGATTCGTTGTGTTAGGTGAATTTTGTTCAATTCGTGCAGAACCCAAATATCGAGCTTCTTAACAAGTTCAAGACGTCTTATATGATTTTCAATCGTTGCGTGTGATACATTTAACTGTTTTGCAATCTCTCGCACAGTTATATGACGATTCGATTCAATTATGGCTCTCATTTTGTCATCGTCAACTTCAGAAGGTCGACCAGAACGTTGGTCATCTTTCAGTGAGAAATCTCCAGAACGAAATTTTTTAAACCAATTCTGACACGTGCGTTCTGTTAAACAATCAACACCCATAGACTTCACATATCTCTTTGCGAGCCTCGGTCGCTTTCTTGCCTTTACGAAAATAAAAAAGTAAAATGTGTCGAAAATACTTATTTTTGCACTCAGTGTTAAAACTGACCCGTAAACCGACAGTTGTAAACAAAATTACACGGAATTTGTTTCTATAGCAACCTAAAGGTATCGACTGCCAAATCTCAAAAGAAAAAAATTCTATTATTGACAAAAGAATAACGAAACAAACGACGCTATCTACTGGCGCAAACCGAAATCACTTTCTTGCCAACCCAATAATTTAGTTGCCGCGTCTGTTCATTACTCACTGTTTCTACTTATACCGATGCCCAACTTGAATCTATTATTCCGTATATTTTTAAGCTCGATTTTTTTGAAAACATAGCAAAATCCCCTTGTCGATTGTACTACGAATAAAGGTATACCATGTATAATTAGTTATTCCCGCAGCAATGTAAATATAATCTGATATCTAAGTAGAGAAAGATATACATTTCGTCGAATCAGTTCAGGTTTAAGTAGGAATCGTTCTGCATTTTTTCTCAAGGTTATCCGGGCGTCAATGCCGTCGAACAATAGATCAGAAATTCTTACTTTCTCGTCCAAAGCCTTGTGGTGCTCGAACAGACTTTTCAGAGCTTTAAGCACTTCAACTTCGGACGATACTCCGGATTGCACGGCTGCTTGCCTCTTTATCACAGTCAACCGGAGCGATCGTTCGTGTCGCGAGACCAGGCATTCCAGATGTTCCAGCAGAAGCTGTGGAAGACAACAAAATCGTTTTAGCGGACAACGTGGAGAGCACAAACATCTTTAAATTATATTAGGTGCGTTAAAGCTGTTCTACGTACACGAGTGTTGTTCCGTTCCGCTTTTAGTTCCGATATTTCCTCCTCTCTTTCTAGGATACTCTCACGTGCCGCTGAGAGCTCCTTCGTCAGTTGGGAGAACTCCTGAAATAAAAAAAATATGTAAAAATCTTTTCTAACTTCGCAAACGTTACTTAAACGTTAATTAGACAATGGGTTGCTCTAAAAATCTTTTTCTTCGTTGACTTTTGTAAAAAAATGGGAACGTCAACAATAATTGCTTGAAACAAGGTCAACATCGTTCGAGGCCTTGAGACATTGTCAAAGGTAGTTTGACTTAAGAACACTACGAAAAGTTTGCTGGGGAAAGCGCACTTTTACCTTTTTCATTCAAGCACATTTCACACACCCCTTTCAACGCATTACTTCCGCCTGACATTCCATTAGAATATGTTAAATCTTTATTTATAAATGCTGCTGATCGATAAAGGCATCCCTGTTAGTACAACATCGCCAGCCGGTTTGCACTTTAAGGGAACAAACAACTTCGTCTAAATTTAGGCGACTCACGCTCGCCTTCGTTATAATACCTCCACTTTCGCGATCTTAAATTCCACAAGTTTCGAAATCGCAAGATTTTTACTTCCTCGACTTCTAATCTCCCAAATTCCCGTTTTTCTAACTTTTTAAAATTCTCCAGTTTCAGGAATTCCCCGAATTGAATGATTAACGTTCGTTGCATGAAATCTGTCTTCTAACGAAATTCGTTAATATTGAAATGGAGTGCACGTTGTGTTGAGGAATTCAAATTCGCGCGGCAATAAGCACGCAACCAGGTGGCGACACCTGTTTTTTTTTATCACCACTTTGTAGCCGCATGGTCGTCGTTCTGTAGTTGTATTTATTTATATAAAGACATTGATATTAAAGAATGTGATATCATCAGTTCGTGTAGTTAGTGTGTGAACACTTCTACGTTCCTAGAAGGAGCATATTCTTTATATTTTCTATTTTGTTTTTGTTGGATAAAGCCCAGGATTTTAACACTAGAACTACTGAAATGGTCAAAATGACCCATTTGTAATCTATACTATTATATAAAGAGAGAGATTTTTATGTTCGCGCAAAACTCAAGGCCTATTGAACCGATCTTCCTCAAATTTTGACACGTTATTCCTGCATATTCTAGGACGGACATAGGCTATGTAGCATGTCTCAGAAGCGCGTTATTAGCATGTAATTTATATACAAAAATTTCATGTGTACGACTGTTTGGCAGACCACGTGACCCCTGTATACGAGAGTCTACTTGCGCGCGCATGCGCGTATTCGGCCCGCGCGGTACCTCGCCCGTAGCAGTACTGCGATGTTACCGCCAGGTGGCGAAGCTTCTCGAGCGCTTTCTCGCGAGAGAATTGCATTATCGCGGATATATATGTCAGGACGATCGTCTGGTCATCAATTGCTTTTGCACAAGGCATGCTAGTTTCTAATAAAATTTGTAACAAATTTTCTCGACTAAATTTTGTGCAAACTTACAGTGTTTCTCTATCAGAAAATAAATATCCATTTATTTCCATTGTATTATACATTTCTTCAAATATCTATGGTTTCCTTTGATAGAAATAAATTAACCTTAAGTGTTGGTCGTTCTAGTGTTAAGCGTTTGGATATCGCCTTCGAGAGGAGTGCAATATCGATGCTGTTCTTCGCAAAGAACTCATCACGGAAGAGGCTGATTAATTAGAGCCGGTAGACGAATTCCATTTATCTATCTCCAAGTGTGTTGAAAAAAATTGTCACAAATGCAACCATATGGAAACCAGGTACACGAAAAAGGAGTATTCTAATTTTAATAAGTATGTGGCGCTGCTTCGCTGCGGGTAGGGAACTCGTGAGAATAGTAGGAGGACAGAAAAGGAAAGGAGGGGCGCGTTTCGTCCCGGGCCTGCCAGTGGACTCATTAGTAAGGCTTTCTAGCAGGCCCTGCCTTAGACGACTGGGATATTGGGAAGTTTTTTTTTCTTTTTTTGGGGGGTTTCTCACTGTGTGTTTGCAGTACCGTGGGCTTTACTCCCTATAACCTGCAATTAGCATGTTAGGTTGGTGTTGTTGTGAAATTGTGTTGTGTAATGTTTTATCTAATTAGATTTCTGGTTTGGAGTTAGAGGGAAAAGTTTCAAAAACCTCTATGACATGCATCTTGCGATGAGAATGATGGGTTGTGTGTCGAGTTATGAAATGGTTAGTGTAGGGGTTTTTATGCGCATTTTGAGGGGAATGTCTTCGGGTTTGTAGTTCCCTAACGCGGCTACTAGGGAATTTGGGTGGCTGAGGTTGGCGTTAAGTGTTTTACGAGTTATCCTGTTTATGAATGCGGAGATGAGTTCTATTTAGGATTGTAGGGAGCATTAGTAACTCCCTAGTTACTCCCGCAGATGGCGCGAGTGGCGCCGATGCCAACCGTTGAGAGAGGCCGGGATGCTATAGGGAATTTGTCCCTAGGTACTCCCTGGGCCTCGAGAGACAAGAAAGAATCGAGAGTTCTTCCCCGAGCAAGCTAAGGGACAGTCCAATAAAGCACTTTTCCGCAAAACCACGTGTAATCATTCTGAGCAACCCTGTGTCCATATACGTAGGCCAGCGCCTACAGGATATTGGGAAGTCGTTCGAGGAGTGTATATATAGCAACGGAGGGGTCGGTCGAGCGCTTGTGAGAGCGCGAGCCCTCTGGTGGCGAGCATGGGAGGCGACGCCACAAGTACAAAAATTTGCATTATTCTGTCGGACTTAAAGATTTTCATACCATTAGCAATTAGATGGAATCTTTTTGTACTACTTGTATATTACCCGACTAATGTGGACAATTATCAAACATAAGTTCAGGGAGATGATCGATATGATAATACAGGGTGTTCGACCACCACTGGGAAAAATTTTAATGGGAGACTCTAGAGGCCAAAATAAGACGAAAATCAAGAATATCAATTTCTCGAAAAAAAGTTATTAAAAAATTAAATTAAAATATTTCAAATCATTCTGGAAAAATTATTTTTGCTTGCGGGGCTCAATTACAATCATTTTTGGTCATTAGACATACCCTTGAAATCCTACCCACTTTCGAGAAAAAAATTCGAGTAGGTACTGATATTTTTAGACGAAATTAAAAAATTTCAAATCGTACTAAAAAAATTATATTTAGTTACAGGGGTCAATTACAAGTATTTTCGGTGAATAGGCCTACCCCTGAAATTCTAACCACTTTCGAGAAAAAAATTCGAGTAAATATTGCAATTTTTAAATGAAATTAAAAATTTTGAATCGTACTAAAAAAATTATATTTAGTTACAGGGGTCAATTATAAGCATTTTTAGTGAATAGACATATCCCGAAATCATACTCAGTTTCGGGACAAAAATTCGATTAGGTACTGAAATTTTTAGACGAAATTACAAAATTTTGAATCGTACTAAAAAAATTATATTTAGTTACAGGGGTCAATTACAAGCATTTTTAGTGAACAGACATATCCCGAAATCCTACGCACTTTCGAGAAAAAAATTCTTTACCGAAAATCTAATGTGAGGCCAGAAAGGCGCCCCCGAATATTTAAAATGTCATAACTCCTGAACGGATTGGAGGATTTTAATTTTTCAAAATGCAAACAACGCGTATTTTAGTAGAGAATATGTAGAAATTCTAACAATATAGAAAAAGTTGCTCCTTGACATCGCAAAGTGAGGAAACCCTCCTAAAACTGGTTCAATTTTCAATCAGCCATAACTCCTACAATAGCAACGATATCTCATTGAAAATTTTTTCTGAAGCAGAGCCCATAGGTACCTACAAGAAAGTATTAAACAACTTTTCTGTAGAGCGTAAAACAAATTTATTAAAAATCAAAAATGAATTTTTAAGAAAAATCGTCAGGGGTGTGGGTAGGTGCCCAAATTTTTCGTCGAAAAAAAAATTTGAAATCGTTCTGGAAAAAATTATTTTCGGTTGAGGGGATCAATTACAATCATTTTTGGTCATTAGTCATAGCCTCGAAATCCTATCCACTTTCGAGAAAAAAAATTCGAGAAGGTGCCTAAATTTTTCGACGAAAAAAAAAATTTCAAATCGTTCTGGAAAAAATTATTTTCGGTTGAGGGGTTCAATTACAATCATTTTTGGTCATTAGTCATAGCCTCGAAATCCCATCCACTTTCGAGAAAAAAAATTCGAGAAGGTGCCTAAATTTTTCGACGAAAAAAAAAATTTCAAATCGTTCTGGAAAAAATTATTTTCGGTTGAGGGGGTCAAGAACAATAATTTTTGGTGAATAGACCTACCCCCGAAATCCTACCCACTTTCTAGAAAAAAATTCAGTACTTCATCAGTACATCATAAACTATGCAAAGACTGTTTATGTTCTTTTTATTGAAGATATCTGCTTCCACTATTCAGAGTTATTAAAGATATGAGATTTTTAAACGAAGCACGTATATTCATTTAACGTAGAAAAAATAAAAAAATAGTTATTTTATAATAGTGACTTTTAATAGTAAATTTATATACAAATATGTACATATGTTACCAGTGTAATATCAATGTTCTTAGTTCGAGTCTTACGGAGTTCTTAAGATGTTTTGACTGTTCTTGAAGTGTTCTAATTTGAAAAGTCCTATGCCCCACGATTTTATACAGATTCCAAAATAGGTGGAGATCTTGTGTACCCAATCAAACCCCTGTCCATCTCGAGGGGGCCAGTCCTCAGATATTCGGAATCCCGCCCACTAAGGGTGGTACAGGGGTGGGTGTCCAATGGTTCCAAAGTACGGTGCTTAACGGGTTTATAATACGGCAATTTTCTTTGTATTGCGCCATGAGGTACTTCCCAAATAGCTAATTAAGTAATTTAAAATAACATTAACTAAATGAGGGGTATGCTAATAACTGTTGGAATTCCCAACACTCGGTATATTAAGACGTTTCATTTTGCCTATACAACTTCCACGACTGATTGCATCTATGGTACAGCATTCATTCATTCGTTATTTGAATCTTTATTAACACTTTACCGACTGGTAGCGGTTGATTAATCGGCTATCGGTCGGTAAGCGTTGGTCGATAAAACAGTTGATTAATAGGCTATCAGTCGG